CCTGCTTCAGCGTGACTATTATTGGCCGGGAATGGGGGGTGACGTGGTGAATATTCTGAAGGGTTGTGTTGAGTGCGCCAGACGGAAACCACCGCCTGTGCCAGCTAATCCACCGCTGCAATCCATCCAGGTCTCGCGCACTAACGAGCTCGTTGCACTCGATATTCTGGGGCCCTTTCCGGTCACGCCTAGGGGTAATAAGTACCTGTTGGTGGGGGTCGAATATTTTACCCGGTGGCCTATGGCGTGGCCACTCGCCAACCAGTCGGCGGCGGCTGTGACGGACGCCTTTGTCCAGGGCTACGTCCTGGACAAGGGGGCTCCCGAACGCTTGCTGACTGACCAAGGGAAGAATTTTTCGAGTAAATTACTGCAAGAGGTGTGCGACCTGTTGGGTACCAAGAAGGTGCGTACCTCCCCGTACCACCCGCAGACGGACGGGATGGTGGAGAGGCTTAACAGGACATTGACTTCTATGTTGTGCCAGCAGGTGTGTGAGGCGCATGTTGATTGGGACCTGCAGGTCCCTGGGGTCCTCGCCGCGTATAGAATGGCCCCCCATGCAGCTACGGGATTTTCCCCGTTTTATCTGATGTACGGTCGGGAAGCCGACCCGCCCATGGAAACGCAGCTGGGTCTGTCCGCACCACGGGCAAATTCGAAATTGGCAGAGCATATTAAATTTAATATTCATAAGCTGACAGAGGCAAGGGAGGCCGCACGGCTTAATTCACGGGCTCGCCAAATTGCAAACGAGCGGTTGCGGGCACGGAAGGTGTCCGTGCACAATTGGGAACCAGGTGACAGGGCCTGGCTGCATTGCCCGCAGGCACCTTTGGCTACGTCGCCTAAATTGTTGAAGCCGTGGCGGGGACCCGTGGAGGTCGTGCGGGTTGCACGCCCCCAGTGCGTTCAGATAAAATGGGGAAAACGCCGTTGGTACGTCCACCCCTCCCGACTGAAACCGTTCTCGCCTCCGTATGGCCTCCCCTTGTGTCATGAGGGCCGAGCATGTGACGTGACCAGCGACCCTAAGGGGGAATTGTCTTTGCCTGCTCCTCACATGTCTCCGCCTGATCCGCTCCCAGGTGTCTCGGAACTGACAGCTGCCGACCACCGGCGGCCGGATCTTGAGCGGCCGGAGCCACCGGACGGTCGCCAACGTCCCGTCCCATACGACGGACCGGCCAGACGGACTCGCGCTAGGTCGCGCTACTTTGTGTGACCTGCCACGTGAGGAGTCGAGGCAGCCGGAGCGCCTCGGCACTGCGTTTAGTCACAGAGACACTTGGCGCGTTCGGTTTCCGGTGTTCGCTTTTATTGTGTTCGTTTTCCGGTGTTCGCTTTTATTGTGTTGTTCGTCGGGCTGTATATTGCTTCATATTTAAGTGTTGTGTTGTGTTGTTGTTGTTGCGTTACGGGGCACACTGAGAGGTGGAGTTTCTTTGTTACTGCATTGACGTTAGGTTGTGTTGTTGGTTAACAGCCGGGCCGGCTGCAAGCTATGTGGGAGGGGGTGATGTAGAGGTGATACGCGCTGGGATTAGAGATCGTATGCCAGCGCGTAATGATTGGCTGTGTAGGTGGTGACGTGCGCTGACGGTGGAGGATCAGGGGTCAGCGCGGGGTCGTGGGTTACGGGGTACTGATTGGCTGTGGACCGGTGACGTGCTGAGAGGGAGTGATCGGGTGGCAGCGCGGTGTGATTGGTGGAGGAGTGTTAACACGCGCTGGGGAAAACGGATCGTAGAGAGAGTGCGTCGTGATTGGTTCATTAAGGAGCGATGCTCACGTTGAAGTACGCATCAGCTCCGCCTCTCGTGAACAGGGGCTATAAAAGGGGATGCACACAGGCGTGAGGGAGTGTGTAACCAGCGAAGAATGAAGACGGGGATGAAGACCTAGGGCCCTGCGGTACCTAGTCCCGCTGTCCTAACGGGACCGGGACTCTGTGTAACCCAGAGGCGAGTGTAGTGTGTGTAGCCATAGGCGTAAGGTCTAGACGAGCCGAATGCGAGTGTATTGTGTAGCCAGGGACATAGGGTCTACACGAGTCGAGTGTATTGTGTAGCCAGAGGCGTAGGGTCTACACGAGTGAAGGGTATCGTGTGTAGCCAGAGGCCTAGAGTTTACACGAGAGTAGTGGAGTGTGAAGTCGGAAGAAAGGAGACTACACGTTGTATTTTGACACGTAAAGATTTAATAAAAAGTGTGTTCCCGTCAAGAAGTTCCTGCCGTCAATTCCCATACTTCACATGTGTAGAGGTATTATTGTGCACTTCCCATGCTGTCAGCTGGTAGTATCCCACGCGTGTCTATAGGGGGCGGAAGAGTGACTTCGCCCAGGGTCGAAGGACTATAGCCCAAGGGGCCAACGGTAATTCCTATGGGATAGCGGATCCAGGGACGCAGACCCCAGACCCCATGAGGGGGCTGGGGGATGACGTCACCCTTCCAGGACCTGGTGGAAGATTCTGGAAGGAAGGTGTGGCCGGGGCGAAGCGAGCCAGGGATCTGTATAAAAGTCGGACCTCTGAACGGTCCTGGCAGTCATCGTCCACCCAAGGATCAAGAGCCTCCTGAAGAGAAGAGCCCGATGGGCAGAGCCGTACCCCTGGCAAGGGTCGGCTCTAAGCTATACCAGTGAAGACTGAAGAGAAGAGCCCATGGGCAGAGTCGTACCCCTGGCAAGGTTCGGCTCCAGCTTACATACCAGTGAAGACAAAGCTTCACTCGAGAAGGGTTAGAATAGCCAGTGAGAGGCGTATCCAAGTCAAGTGTGTGCCTCCTTGTTCAACACTCCACAATGCATCCTGGGTTTAACCTGCAGGCTGGATTGTGAGGCGCTCACAAATCCTTGAGAGATCTCAACAAATTCGCATCGGTGAGCTCTTCATGCAGCCAATGCCGCGTTGGCTGGGTCATGTAGCCTGCATGCCCAGCCACCGCATGCCCAAGGCAGCTTCTGTTTGGCTGGATAGAGGGGGCTAAACGGGCATGGCACGGGTTGGGAAAGAGATGGACTGATGCGGAACAGGAGGATGTGGAGCTGAGTGGACTTGCCATTCACTGGTACCAGTGGTGTCTGGATTGGCCTCTGTGAGGGAGGCTCGTAAAGGACGCTGCTACTGGGCTGCTGGAGGCAGTCGCCCTCCAGCAACAACGGAGGGCAGAGGAGTGACGAACAACGAGCGGAGCAGCGGATGGCTAAAACGCACGCAACTTGGCACAGTAGGGAGCACTGGTGGTGCATAGGCCAGTCATCTCAGTCAGTCAACTCATGGCACTTGGGTCTGTCCCGTGACCTCCTGCCAGTAGCGAGCCTTTCAACACTTCAAGCGGCCTCAAAGTGCACCTGGCCTGGCACACAAGCAACACGGCCGTTGTTGTTGGTGGCAGCGATGGAGAACGATGGTGTAGCGGTTAACACTATGCTGCACTACGAATCTGGCGGTCCAAGTTCAATTCCCCCTCATGGCCAACATTAGTGACGATTACCAGAACCGGTCGTGGACCTCCCCTAGGTCGATTCAGCCTCAAATTAATACCTGGTGCAGTGTCTAAACATCACCACTGGGGAGACAAAGGCGGTCGGGCGTGGTGCTGGCCACCCACCCCCTCGTGTGCCGTGTCGGCCTTGAAAGGCGCTGCTCACTAACATCAATTGCCCCAACAGTCTGTTTAAGGCGACACTGGCGATCTCTGATGATTGTGGAGGTGGTGGAGGTAGTGGCTCTGCTGCCTCGCATGGCTGCCTGCAGTGTCTGGAGGTAGCAGCAACCGCAGCGAGGGTTGGTGGATCACACACAGATGGGCTTTGAAACGTCCCTTCTACCTGTGGGTGGGTATTTAGGAGCCGTACCCTTGTCTTTGCCAGGAGAGAAGGCAGTACAGCAACGTGGACTAATCTCCATCTGTATGGGGATAGAGCGTTTCCCCCTGGTGCAAGCCATGGGTTTGTCTCCGAGTATCTCTGCTTTCCTCCTCCCACGTGAACACCAAACACAGCTCGTCATCATCAATAGGATCAACGCACCTTACAAATACACCATTGTAGCAGCAGCAGTGGCAGGACACTCCTAAGATTAAGGGTTAGAGATAACCTGCGACTCCTGGATGCAGCAATACACTCATCAACCACAGCTGTGGTCGCTTGCCTTGTCATTCCCGGTCTAAGAGAGAAACGCAGGTTGAGTGTAAAGCAAGCTACTTATGTTGATATATCTTAGATTTAAACTACATTATGAAACTAAATAATGTTTTACTTTACCAGGGAATGCCCACTACTGAGCTACGTAACTCTTTCAGAAGCAAGCTGGCCAAAAGTAATTGCTCAACGAAGCGGTTTATCATCACGTGGAAATGTATGGCAGCCAAAAGCTCTAAACGCATAGAGATGTAAATTTTTAATGTGGAGGGTTAAACCGGAGGACCCGAAAAAAAGTCCACGTAACCATGGGGAGAGAGACGCAGACTCCAAATATACAGCAGGCCTCAAGGGTCGGGATCGAACTCACGACCTTCTGTACACTAGGCGAAAGGGTTAACATCTCCGAGCCACCGCGTCGATTTAAATCGCAGTGCCTTCTTATATCAAGGTCCTTTACATAAGATGACAGTGGTTGAGGTACTAACAAATAGTGTGGTTGTTGTTAATAAAAGTGGTGTAGTTATTATGACAGTTTAGTAGAACATGTGGGAGTGGTTAAGGAGGGGTTCTGATTGTGTTAGAGATTGGGGTAGTGATAGGAGTTTTGAGTAGTGATAGGGGCAATGGAGTAGTGATAGGGGTTGGAATAGTGATACGGGTAGCAATAAACGTTGGAGTAGTGATAGGGGTTGGAGTAATGATAGGGGTTGGAGTAATGATTTGGTAGTGATAGGGTTAGGCTAGGGTAGAAGAGATGGGGGTTGTGTTAAGGAAAGCTTCAGGTTATCAGTGACTGTGAGTGCTCGGTGTGTATCTAAGAGGACAAAGCCACGTCGGAGATTGCCCCAGAATCTGTGAGCGTGCATGGTTTTTATTCCTGAACAAACACAGCAGATTCCATCGCGGAGATGGAACGAGGGGAATATGTATTGAGCAGGAGATGGAGCGAGGGGGAGATGGAACGAGGGGGAGATGGAACGAGTGGGAAATGGAACGAGGGGGAGATGGGGCGAGAAAGAAATGGAACAAGGGGGAGATGGGGCAAGGGGGAGATGGGGCGAGGGGGAGATGGGGCGAGGGGGAGATGGAACGAGGGGGAGATGGGGCGAGAGGGAGATGGGGCGAGGGGGAGATGGGGCGAGGGGGAGATGGGGCGAGGGGGAGATGGGGCGAGGGGGAGATGGGGCGAGGGGGAGATGGGGCGAGGGGGAGATGGGGCGAGGGGGAGATGGGGCGAGGGGGAGATGGGGCGAGGGGGAGATGGGGCGAGGGGGAGATGGGGCGAGGGGGAGATGGAAGAGTTGAGCGGAGTTGCTGTAGATGGTTCTTCATGAGGCTAGAGGCGGAACAGCTGAGTGGAGTTGCTGTAGATCGTTGCCGCGAGTTCTGATGGATCCTCGTCGCGAACGGCTGCGATGATTTCTAGCACTTGACTGGAACAAGATCACCACCACCACCATCACCAACATCACCACTGTCAACATCATCGTCAATAACATCAACTAGATCATCATCATCACCATCGCCACCATCAACATTATGAACATCATCGTCATCACCATCAGTAATCACCTTCCCCACCAGCATCAACATCGCCAGGAATATCAACAAGAATTGTGTATGTGTTCATGTGTTCAGTGTATTGTGCATATATTGTATGTTTGTTGTGTAATTGTTGTATATATTGTGTACGTGTGTTGTGTGTCTCCTGTGTGTTGTATATATCGTGGGGAGCAGTTAGCATGCTTCCGTTGTGTGTTATTTACACTGTATGTTGTGTGTGTGTTGTGGACACTCTGTATGTTGTGTGTGTGTGATGTGTACACTCTGTACATTGTGTGTGTGTTGTGCACACTGTACGTTATGTGTGTGTTGTGTACACTATGTATGTTGTGTGTGTATGTCTCCTCGGTGGTGCCGGACAGTAACACTATGGTGCCTATGACCATTGCCAATTCCAATCATGGAGCACGTTACCAGAACAGCAGCTAATGGGGGTGCTGGATGGGTGCGAGGAGCTGGTAACGCTTCTACCTTCAATTGAATTACAACGAAACCACAAAATAAATATCTAAAAAAGCTAGTGCCGGAGACTCTGGGAGGAACAGGAGTCTATGGCACTGCCTGGCCGAACCCTATTTGGTAGAGCCAGGACACTGAACCCATACCCTCGGGGTTCCTCCAGAAATTGCAAAAAACCACTGCGAGTGGCCACATGGAATGGTCGAATGCTCACTGCGGAGATGTTGCCATTCCTCTGTTGTGAGCTGGATCGGTACCGCCTGGATCTCTGTGGTTTTCGGGAAGTCCAGTGGACTGGCTCTGGCTTCAGTCACCATGAGGGGTTGAATCCTCTACTAGGGGCCAAATAACAGGGTGTGGCTGTTCTTTTGAACAAAATAATTAAGGGGGTCATGGGAGCGTAGCAGTGAAGTGTGGAAAGTTGTAAGCCCCAGGCTACTATGGGCTTGCCTCCCCATCAACGGGAGGCAATGAACTGTGGTGGTGGTTGCTTACGCCCCCACCTGAAGATGAACATCAGTGGGAGGATGCAAGCAAGGCCGATGAGTCAGATGCCTTCTATAACATCCTGTCTGAGGTGCTAGCTAAAAAGTGGCCCCTCAGGATATAGTCATCCTTTTGTATTACTTTAATGCCCGAGTAGGTCATGACGCTGACACCTGAGCTATAGTGATTGGAAGGCATATGCCAGATCAGCTCAATAAAACATGGGAGGCTGTTAGTCTTCTGTGCAGCCCATGGACTTGTAATTACCAATACGCTGTTCCGGCATCGGCACATCCACACATTATGGATGCACGCCGGGTCCAAGCAAGAACATCCACTGGTGCGGAACAGCGGATGCGGGCCCATGTCCTTGACACGAGGACCTACCGTGGAGCTGATCTGCCCACTGACCATCGGCTTGTTATCTGTAAAATGTACCTGCCATTCTTCCACTCCGGTGGTTGGTGTACATCTAGGACCCCATTCAAACCCACAATGGCCTGGTCTCAGCTAGCTGATGATTGCTCGCACCTGGGGTTGGCATCTTCCTCCTCTCCTGATACCGAGGGGAAATAGGCCAGGTTTAGGACTGTGGCTCATGCAGCTGCAATGGCTGCTTTAAGTACATGGTACAAACCTCCCGAGAGACCCTGCTGAGGCTACGGTACCTCAAAAATTGGAAGCGGTCACCCCATGTGCGTGGCTAGCTGAAGTGGCATCTGTTGATGAAGTACAGAAGGCAATCCAGAGTCTAAGACCAGGAAAGGTGCCGGGCAGAGATGATCTCCCAAGTGAAATTCTCCACCACATCAACTCCCCATTGGTGATGGGGCAGTTGTAGAGAGTGGAGAGCTTCCCATAACTGGGCAGTGCGCGTATGGCCGGCTCCGGTTTTACAGCAGGGGTCTTACTCCAAATCAGTCGAGAGGCATTTTATTTTCATAGGCTGCGTAATGCTGTGTGGAAGCTCCCTGGGGTCTGTGGCTCCACACAAAGCTTTGAGTCTTCTTGGCCATGGTCATGCCCTCCCTTTTCTATGCTTATGAAACATCACCCACCTAATGGCAGATCCGTGTTTAGGTTATCTGCCTGATTTGTGAGCTCCTCACACAATCCAGCCTGGTTAAACTCCTCACACAATCCAGCCTGGTTAAACCCAGGATAGATTGTGTGAGGAGCTCACAAATCTGGCCGGCAAGGCTGCATTGGCTGGGCCACGTACCCCGCATTCCCCAGTCACCACATGCCTACACGGCTTTTGTCCAGCTGGATAGAGGGGGCTAAACAGGCGCGGCATGGGCTAAAGAGAAGATGGAGTGATGTGGTACAAGAGGACGTAGAACTGAATGGACTTGCCAATGACTGGTACCAGTGGTGTCAAGATCGGCCTTTGTGGAGGAGGCTCGTGAAGGACGCTACTGAGCAGTTCGAGGAAGTCGCCTTCCAGAAATAATGGAGGGCAGAGGAGCGACAATAACGTGCAGAGAGCCGGGCGGTTAAAACCAAGCAAGCTGGCACAGTGGGGAGCAAAGCTGGTGTGTCTGCCAGTCATCCCATTCAGTCAACCCATAGCACCTGGGTTTGTCCCGTGACCTCCTGTCAGTGAGCTTTCAATACTTTATGTGGCCTCAAAGTGCATATGGCCTGGCACAGGCTCCGCGGTGATGTCACCGCCATTTAGTGGCGAATGGCGGTTGTTGTGGCAGTTGTTGTTGTTGGAGATCTATAGTGTAGCGGTTTGCGCGCTGCACTACAGATGGAGTTCGATTCCCGCTCATGGACAACAACAGTGATGCTTATCTGAACCGGTCTTGTGCCTTCCCTACGTCGACTCAGCCTCAAATGAGTACCTGATGCCATGTGTAAACATCGCCACTGGGAAGTCAAAGGCAGCCGGGCGTTGTCCTGGCCACCCACCCCCTCGGGTGTCATGTTGGTTTTCATAGGGGATCGCTAACAGCACTTGTCCCAACAGTCTGTTCAGGCTATAGGGGGAGTCGTTGTTTTTGTGTGTACGTATGCGTGTGTATGCTTGTGTGTATGCGTTGTGTAGGTTACACGATGAAGCAGGGCTCGTGTCTCCCTTTCAGCGCCCTCCCCTCCTCCCACTTCTTGCTGCAGGGGAAGTGGGTGGAGACGAAGGGGAACCCAGCGTGGAGGGGGCGCACGGAGCACCACGGCGCATCTATCGCAGCACACCCCCACAGCACCATCACAGCCGTTACCTCGGTTCATCACATTCATCACCATGGTTACCACACCCGTCGCTGTGTTTCGACAACCGTCGCCATGCTTACCTGTCTCTATGAGAAGGCGCTCAGCCGGGATGCTTTTGATGGCGTCCAGATTCTCGCGCGTCTTCAGTGAACTGGGAATAACAACTGCATCACCATCTAACCACAATCACAATCTTAGCACAACCTAAACACAACTTGACCACAACCTAACTACAATCACAACCTAACCACAACCTAACCACAACTTAACTACAATCACAACCTAACCACAACCTAACCACAACCTAACTACAACCTAACCACAACCTAACTACAATCACAACCTAACCACAACCTAACTATAACCTAACCACAACCTAACTACAATCACAACCTAACCACAACCTAACCACAACAATAACCTAACCACAACTGAACCAATCGGGCTTTGCGTGGTACTCCTGGGGGGGCGTATGTGGCTGATGGGATGTGTCCGGTGGTGGTAGTGGTGGTAGTGGCGGTAGTGGTGGTCGTGGTCGTGGAGGTGGTGGTCGTGGAGGTGGTGGTCGTGGCGGTGGTGGTGTTAGCGGTGGTAGTGGAGGTGATCGTGGTGGTAGCGGTGGTAGAGGTGGTGGTGGTCGTGGAGGTGGTGGTAGCGGTGGTGGTCGTAGCGGTGGTAATGCAGGTGGTAGTGGTGGTGGCCGTGGTGGTGGTGGAGGCAGCGGTGGCTGTAGTGCAGGGGGGAGCTGTACCAGCCATTGATGCCGATGAAAAGTCCCTGCTCCACGATAGCCGCTGCCTCTTCCTTGCTCCCATCAAACGAGTGGACCTGGTGATAACAAATTACAATAGCTGTAGACTGTTCTGGCTATGATAATAACAACAATCACAACCAATAATAATAACACAGGAAGTGTTTAGATGGTCAAACGCAAACTATGTTACCGCCCTGTGTTATTACTTCATCCTTTACCCTTGACAGAGTTGTTGGGGTTTAACAAGGACAGGGTGAGAAATGAACAAGTGAGCGGATGTCTCAGGGTGGTAGAAATCACAGAGAAGATGACAGAGAGAAAAGACTGGTGTGGTTTAGTCATGTCGAGAGAGACGACGGGAAAAAGATGTCGGTCAGAAGATGGCAAGTGATGCAAGGGGAAGGAAAGATATCAAGAGGAAGAAGGCAGATGAAGAGGTGGGGGGGGGCATGTGGTGCGATCGGACATGGTGGCCCGATAAGCGGAAAAAATGATGACGCAGGACAGGGCAGCATGGAGAAGGTTGGCAGGGGACAGCAGAACACCCCACACGAGTGGGACAAATGCGTGGAAGAAGAAGATGAAGACTTTTCTCCTTTTCCGGCCTGTTGATGCTTGCAAAACGGGTCCCAGAGAGAGAGAGTGGCGAGGACGGGAAGAGGGCCAGGGAAAGGGATGGGGAGAGGGACGGGGGGAGGCAGAAGGGCGGGGAGAGGCAGACGGAGAGGGACGAGGAGGGGAGAGGGCCAGGGAGAGGAGCAGAGGAGAGGGATGGAGAGAGGGACGCGGAGAGGCAGAAGGACGGGGAGTGGGTGAGAGGGACGAAAGGAGGGGGGGGGGGAGAGGGATGGATAAAGGGGAGAGAGGAAAGGGATGAGGAGAGCGGTGGGGAGGGGGCCACCTCATCCTTAGAGCTCGCAGGCTCAGCAGAGCCAAGCCTGGACAGCAGCAGCTATAGCAACTGCTGGTGCTACTACCAGCAGGGGGCGCTTGATTGTTTTAGACGGAGCTAGGGAGCCATGCCTGAGCACAAAAGCTGTGTGGCAGGGACAGGGGCAGCGCAACAGTCGTCCCGTATAGAGATGACATGGGGGAGAGCTTGGCATCGACTCCCGGGCTCCTGAGTAGAGTTGCTGGCCACCCACCCGTCCGTGTGCCACAGTGCCAGCTTTCATAGGTGCTGCTGCTCGCTAACAATACTTGCCCCAATAGTCTGTTATGCCCATACGGGGGATCTTTGTCATTATTTGTGCATGCGTGCTTGAATTGGAGGCTCTGCTACTGAACCTGAAGCATGCCACTAAGAGGTGGGGCCTTTACCATCAGCACCAACAAACCTTAGCACCTCCCTGGGTATTTGTGTCATCAAACGCGCTGTTTGGAAGCTTACTGGTCTATCACTGCACACGAAGCTTTGGATCTTCTCGGTCATCTGCACTGGTTTGAAACATTCGGGCTGGTCTACCTACGATCCATCCAAGATCACAGATCACTGATATTATCTGGACACAGTCCTATCATCAGTGAGCTCCTCTGGTCGGCAAGGCTGCATTGGCTGGGTCATGTAGCCCGCATGCCCAGCCACCACATTCCCAAGCAGCTTCTGTTTGCCTGGACAGAGGGAGCTAAACGGGCATAACATGGGCTGGAGAAGAGATGAACCGATATAAAAGGAGGTTTTACCCTTTCTGGCAATAAAACAGATGTTAAGATGTTAAAACACCAAACTGAAACCTTTTGCAAGGAAACATGTCTGTATTAAACATATATACTTGTGATGAACATGCAAACAAAAAAACATGTTCTGGTAGTATATGCATTCTCTTTGAAACTGATTGGTCTTCTCCAAAGACAGCTTTCTTTAAAGCCTAGTCTCAAACAGTGTTATACCAGTAAGAAAGCTATCCGTTTCAAAGACAATGCATATTCTACTAGAGCATGTTTTTTTTTAGCATGTTCACCACAAGTATATTTGGTTAATGCAGATATGATTCCTTGCAAAAGTTTTCAGATTGGTGTTTTAACATCTTAACACAACTGTTTTATTGCCAGAAAGGGTAAAACCTATTCTTATATTTGATACTGGCAAGGGAGGTCCCATAATGTAAGTGGACTGATATGGTACAAGAAGATGTGAAGCTGAGTGGACTTGCCGAATAATGGCACCAGCAGTGTCAAGATCGGCGTCTATAGAGGAGGCTCATGATGGACGCTACTGAGCAGTTAGAGGCAGTCGCCCTCCAGTAGCAACGTCGGGCAGAGGAGCGATGCTCACAACAACGTGCAGAGCATCACACGGCTAAAATGCAGAGATTTGGCACATTGGGAGCCACAGGTCAACCCTCAAGTCAACCCATGGCACCTGGGTCTGTCCCGTGACCTCCTGTCAGCGAGCCTTCAAGTGGCCTCGAAGTGCACCTAGCCTGACACAAGTGTCGTGGGGCGATATCAGCCACTTCGATGATTAGCTATCATCATGTGTGGCGAGGTTACCTCTGAATAAAAGCTAAGAGCTCAGGGGATATAAGCTGGTAAACAATAAAATTATAAAAAAAAGGTTAACTGGCTAGATGTGATTTTCCATGTGAGCATTTTTTTCCAGAAATAAGTCAAAATCAGAACTTTGAATTGATTCTACAGATCTACACTCGAGATTATTATTGATATTTATTACTTCCCTTAATTCGTGTCCCCTGATCCAGATGCGAGCGAACCGATCTGGCACTCACCACGCCACCTGTGAAGCGATCCCTGTTCCTCCTCACGATGTCTGTCACACGCAGTCACGCGCACGCAACACACAGCAAAAGACAAACATCGGCCCACATCGAGCCTTTAACAGACTTGTTGGGCAAGTGCTGTTTGCGAGTAGCACCTACGAAAGCCGGCACAAACACAACAACAGCCACCATTCGTTACTACACGGCTGTGGACGTCACCACAATGCCTGTGCCAGCCTACGTGCACTTTGAGGCCATGTAAAGTGTCGAAGTCTCGCTCGCAGGACATCAGGGGACAGACCCAGCAGGTGACATGGGTTGACTGACTTAGATGACTGGCAGATGCACCACCTGTGCCCCTACTGTGCCAAATTGCTGTGCTTTAGCCGCCCCGTGCTCCATGAGAGCGAGTGAGTGTGTGAGTGAGTGTGTGAGTGAGTGAGGATGTGAGAGTGTGTGTGAAAGTGTCAGTGAGAGTGTGTGAGTGAGCGAGTGTGTCAGTGAATGTGAGAGCAAGTGAATAAGTGAATATGAGTGAGTGGACAGACTTTGTAAGTTCTCTCCCCCTGGTCTCCTGAGTTTTACTGTACAACTGGCTGAGAGTTGGAGTCAGATAATGGAGGATAACAAAGCTGTGTGGAGCTGTACTTGGATGGGGCTGCACTTGGAACGGGCTGAGTCTCACCAAGGAAGTCGCTGTGTGAGTTCCTGCAGTGCAGGAACATGGGGAGCCGAGTTTCCTCGGCCACCTCAAACTGCTTCTCAAAGAACCTACACACACGGGGAGATGCGGGGAGATGCGGGGGGGAACACGGGGGAGATGCGGGGAGACGCAGTCAGATATGGGGAGACGTGGAAAGACACACGAAGATGTGGGAAGACGCGGGGAGACACGAGGAGATGTGGGGAGATGCGGGGAGACATGAGGAGACACGGGGAGACGCAGCCAGACGTGGGGGGACACGGGGAGACATGCTGTGTGAGCTGTATGTCTATTGTATGCTGTGTGAGCTGTATGTATATTGTATGCTGTGTGAGCTGTGTGTCCCCGTGTGTGCCGAGTATGCCGTGTGTGCTCTGTGTGCTGTTTGGCCCCGTGTGTCGCCGTCTGTGCTCTGTGTCCTCGTATGTGCTGTGTCTCCGTGTATCCCCGTGTGTGCTGTATGTGCTGTGTGTGTTGTGTGTCTCATGTGTGATGTGTCTCCTGTGTGCTGCGTGTCCCCGTGTGTTCTGTGTGTCTCATGTGTGCTGTGTCTCCTGTATGCTGTGTGTCCCCGTGTGTGCTGTGTTCCCGTGTGTGTCTCACTTGAGCTGCGTCTCTTTGGCACAAAACTGGAGCCGGTCGTAGTCTGAAAACCAAAGAGCAGAGAATGAGAATCATAATCTGTGTTTGTAATGCAGGAGGAGGAATCTGATGAGCTATAAACCTCTTTTTCAGAGATGTCAAGTTCGAGGGGCACAGGGTCAGAAGAACAAACACACAACACATAAACACGATGGGAGTGCAAAGTATAGGAAAGGTAAACAAATCACGTATGCAGTAAACCCTTGTTAATTCGACACATATGGCCTTGCCAAATTATCTAATTTTCCTAATTATGTACAATTGTACTCCCCAGTTCCTCCTGCCCCAATAAAAAAAAATCTAAATGTTTTCGAAAAATGTATTTCCAAGTAACACTTACCATCAGTAACCAGCGCTGCATGCGAAGGAGGACGTGGTATGTTGAATGTGGTAGGTCACAGAGGTTGTGGCGGGGAGCTGAATGCACTTCGCATGGACTTACTGTACTGTATGTTCACTTTATCACTAAATTACAACATAAACACCAAATTACACGAACTTAAACTTCACGTTTTTTACTTAACAATTAATGTTTACTTAAAGACTACATTATTTTACACTTTCACACGACATTATTTCTATTACTGCTTGATGTACTGTAGGTGTATACGACACTCCTGAGTGGGTTGGCTTGCACAGAGCGCATAAACAAGGTAAAGTTCGAAGCAGCAGGTCTGCACTAACGCTCACCACGCGCGCCACCACTAGACTGCGTCATCGTTTTGGCCGTGGCGCGCGGCGTCGCTCTACGTGCATGCCGAAATTGGACCATTCGGTACGGCAATTTGGCTCACGGAAAAATGCCGAAAGCGCAGCCGTGACCTGGCCACCACAAATGATAGCTCAACGAAGTGGCTTATCGTGTGGAAATTTATAGCAGCAAAATACTAACAATTTTTTTAAAAAATCCATGGGGAGACAGACATGCAAACTCCACACATACAGCAGCAGTCAAGGTCGGGATAGAACCCACGACCCTCCTGCATACCAGGCGAGGTAGTTAACATCCCCTATGCCAATGTGGCGTCATGATCGGGATCAAACCCACGACCTTCTCCATTCCAGGCGAGGTAGTTAACATCTCCTAACCACCTTGGCATAAGGATCAGGATCCCACGACATCCTGCATACAGGCAAGATAGTTAATATCTGCTAGCCACGTTGGCGTCAGGGTCAAGATCGAACAAACGACCTGCTGCTTACCAGGCGAGGTAGTTAACATCTGCTAGCCAATGTGGCGTCTGGGTCGGGATCGAAGCCAAGGCCTCCTGCATACCAGCCGAGGCAGTAAACAACTATCCACCGTGGCTTCAGGGTTGAGATCAAACCCACGACCTCATGCATACTAGGTGAGGTAGTTAACATCTCTTAGCCACCGTGGCTCAATGCTGTGATGAGATACAGCACCCAGCACCTGCACACAATACTGATGCCACCGTCGCTCCATCTCGTCCTGTGGGAGGCGCTCTGTTCACAGGTGGCTGCTCCATCATCATCAACATGGTCTGTCCACTACTGGATGGAGATCACTGTAGTTGGGTCTGTCTACCCTGTGTATGGCAGGGGTGGGCTGGCGGGGGTCGGGGGAGGTGAGTGAGTGATTGAGGGGATGGGTGGTTGAGCGAGCGAGCAGGGGTGAGTGGGTGTGTGGGTGAGTGGGTGAGTGGGTGAGTAAGTGAGTGGGTGGCTAACTGAGTGAGTGGGTAAGTGAATGGGTGGGTGAGGGAGCAGATGAATGATTGGATGGGTAAGTGAGTTGGTGAGTGCGTGACTGAGTGGGTGGGTGGCTAAGTGGGTGAGTAAGTGAGTGGGTGGCTAATGAAGTTGTCTTTCATGAAATTGTCTTTTCCGAGACCAAGGTGCTCTGCAAACCTCCTGGCTACCATCAAAGGTTTGTACACGAAGCCATACAAATATACAAACACAGACATAATTTCAACCGTGATGATGGTTACAAACTGAGTAATCATTGGAAAGATGTGATTAACCATGCAAAAAAGATTTAACTACACTTATTTGGACCATCTTATTTGACAGACAACTATAACATGTTACTGAAAGACAGCCAGTTTTGTTTTACCAGGTTTAGCTTCTTTTTTCACACTTTTGTTATGTAGGCTAGGCGTAGTCACAAACCGCACCTCTCCATAATAAAGGCTCAGTAATTTGTTATGCAGTCTATTCATAGTCTCAAGCCGCACCTTACCATAATAATAAAAAGTTGGCCATTCCTGGCCCTTCCCCCCCCCCCCCCTCAACCATTATATATACGGAGTGGTATCTCTTGTAATCTCTCATTTACTTGATACAGCTGTCGGGCTGTGACGGTTCCACCTGAAGACGGAGGCTTGTGTTGCCTCCGAAACGTCGTGATTTTTATTTTATTTTACTTTTATTAATTTTAATTTTTTACCTACGTGACTTTACCGAAAAAACCTAAGAAAATGAATCCTTGTAGTCACGAAAGCTTCAAATCTAGAATGAGTGAGTGGGTAATTGAGTGGGTGGGTGGTTGGGTACGTAGGTGAGTGAGTGGATGAGTGGGTAAGTGAGTAGGTAAGTGAGTGGGTAAGTTGGTGAGTGAGTGAGAGAGTGAGCGAATGGGTGAGTGGGTCGGCAAGTGAGGGAGCGAGTGAGCGGGTGAGGGAGTGGCACCTCACCCAGCCCACACTCCCCGACCGCCGCAACCTTGGGGGCTCCACTCCGTGCCAGCGCCAGGAGGCGCTCTCCGTAGGTCTCGGACTCCGCCTCGAACTCGGCGCAGCGAGTCGGGTGGCAGCCCACGGTGCAGAGGAAGCGATCTGTACCAGTGGGGCCACCGCAGAGACTCCTCAAACAGAGACTCGGGACTTACACAAACAGACTCACACACAGAGGCTTACACAAAGACTCACCACACAGAAACTCACACGGAAACTCACACAGACACTAACACAGAAACTCACAGAGAGTAACACACAAACTCCTGACAGAGACGCACCACACGGACTCATATACAGATTCACACAGAGGCTCACATACAGACTCACACAGAGACTCACACAGAGACTCACATACAGACTCACACAAAGACTCACACAGAAACTAACACAAAGGATCACATACAGACTCACACAGAGACTCACATACAGACTCACACAGATACATAGAGACTCACACAGAGACTCGCGTAGAGACTCGCGTAGAGACTTATCATCCTCACAGCAGCTTTTGGCTGGCCATCGAACAAATACTGTGGTTACTGCATCATCGTGCGGCACTTTAAAATGCGCTGCTTCTGCGGCCGTCTGGAACGCTCTTCCTTACGATATTAGGAAGCCACTGGGAGCTATGCAACTTTGAAATAATAATCGAGATTGGCAAACTCACTTCTTTAGAACTGCTCGTTGTTGTATTTAGTTTGTTGTCCTCCGATTAGCGCGGTTGGCTACGTACGGTGGGAAAGAAGTTCAACACGCATATAACACTCTACATTACACTACACACACTACGCTAAACACTGCACACGACACTTTACACTACACTGTCATACACTAAGGTCCTATACATAACTATAAGCTACACTATACACTACTATACATTACACTATGCACTACGATACACCACACTACTATACATTACACTATACACTACTAAATTGAAAATACATTTTGTAGAACTGTTGCTTGTTGTTGTTGCTGTGTTTTGTTTGTTGACCTTACCCCCCGCATCTCCGATTAGCGCAGTTGCCTATATACCCTGGTGCGAAAGAAGTTCAGCATACATACATAATCGCATACAGTGAGGGAAAAAAGTATTTGATCCCCTGCTGATTTTGTACGTTTTCCCACTGACAAAGAAATGATCAGTCTATAATTTTAATAGTAGGTTTATCTGAACAGTGAGAGACAGAATAACAACAAAAAAATCCAGAAAAACGTATTTCAAAAATGTTATAAATTGATTTGCATTTTAATGAGGGAAATAAGTATTTGACCCCCTCTCAATCAGAAAGATTTCTGGCTCCCAGGTGTCTTTTATACAGGTAAAGAGCTGAGATTAGAAGCACACTCTTAAAGGAAGTGCTCCTAATCTCAGCTTGTTACCTGTATAAAAGACACCTGTACACAGAAGCAATCAATCAATCAGATTTCAAACTCTCCACCATGGCCAAGAACAAAGAGCTCTCCAAGGATGTCGGGGACAAGATTGTAGACCTACACAAGGCTGTAATGGGCTACAAGACCATCGCCAAGCAGCTTGGTGAGAAGGTGACAACAGTTGGTGCGATTATTTGCAAATGGAAGAAACACAAAAGAACTGTCAATCTCCCTCGGTCTGGGGCTCCATGCAAGATCTCATCTCGTGGAGTTGCAATGATCATGAGAACGGTGAGGAATCAGGCCAGACCTATACGGGAGGATCTTGTCAATGATCTCAAGGCAGCTGGGACCATAGTCACCAATAAAACAGTTGGTAACACACTACGCGGTGAAGGACTGAAATCCTGCAGCGCCCGCAAGGTCCCCCTGCTCAAGAAAGCACATATACATGCCCATCTGAAGTTTGCCAATGAACATCTGAATGATTCAGAGGACAACTGGGTGAAAGTGTTGTGGTCAGATGAGACCAAAATGGAGCTCTTAGGCATCAACTCAACTCGCCGTGTTTGAAGGAGGAGGAATTGCTGCCTATGACCCCACGAACACCATCCCCACCGTCAAATATGGAGGTGGAAACATTATGCTTTGGGGGTGTTTTTCTGCTAAGGGGGCAGGACAACTTCACCGCATCAAAGGGACGATGGACGGGGCCATGTACCGTCAAATCTTGGGTGAGAACCTCCTTCCCTCAGCCAGGGCATTGAAAATGGGTCGTGGATGGGTATTCCAGCATGACAATGACCCAAAACACACGGCCAAGGCAACAAAGGAGTGGCTCAAGAAGAAGCACATTAAGGTCCTGGAGTGGCTTAGCCAGTCTCCAGATCTTAATCCCATAGAAAATCTGTGGAGGGAGCTGAAGGTTCGAGTTGCCAAACGTCAGCCTCGAAACCTTAATGACTTGGAGAAGATCTGCAAAGAGGAGTGGGACAAAATCCCTCCTGAGATGTGTGCAAACCTGGTGGCCAACTACAAGAAACGTCTGACCTCTGTGATTGCCAACAAGGGTTTTTCCACCAAGTACTAAGTCAAGTTTTGCAGAGGCGTCAAATACTTATTTCTCTCATTAAAATGCAAATCAATTTATAACATTTTTGACATGCGTTTTTCTGGATTTTGTTGTTGTTATTCTGTCTCCAACTGTTCAAATAAACCTACCATTAAAATTATAGACTGCTAATTTCTTTGTCAGTGGGCAAACGTACAAATTCAGCAGGGGATCAAATACTTTTTCCCTCACTGTAGAGACTCACATGGAGACCCACAGAGATCGGGACACTCACACAGACACACTCACAGACTCTCACAGAGACCCACGAGACACTCACACAGACACACACATACTCACATAATCGCACAGACTCTCACAGAGACTGAGACACTCACACAGACACACACATACTCTCAGAATATCACAGACTCTCACAGAGACTGAGACACTCACACAGACACACACATACTCACAGAATCGCACAGACTCTCACAGAGACTGAGACACTCACACAGACACACACATACTCTCAGAATCTCACAGACTCTCACAGAGACTGAGACACTCACACAGACACACACATACTCTCAGAATCTCACAGACTCTCACAGAGACCCACGAGACACTCACACAGACACACACATACTCACAGAATCGCACAGACTCTCACAGAGACTGAGACACTCACACAGACACACACATACTCTCAGAATATCACAGACTCTCACAGAGACTGAGACACTCACACAGACACACACATACTCACAGAATCGCACAGACTCTCACAGAGACTGAGACACTCACACAGACACACACATACTCTCAGAATATCACAGACTCTCACAGAGACCCACAGAGACCCAGACACTCACAAGATAAAGACAAAGATCCCCCGTATAGCCTGTAACAGGCTGTTGGGAAAGTGCTATTGGCGAGGAATCATTGAAGGCTGGCACGGCACATGAGAGGGTGGGTGGCAAGCACCATGCCCGGCCGCCTTTGTCTCCCCAGTGGCGATGATTTTTACACACTGCACCAGGTACTCATTTGAGAACGAGTCGACCTAGTGGAGGCCCAGGACCGGTTCAGATAATCGTCACCGTTTTTGGCCATGAGCGGGCAATCGAACTCTGGTCATTGGGTTCGTACAGCCCCCCACACACAGACACACACAGACTCACACACTTAACAATGCCTCACAGACACTCATACAGACTCACACAGACTCATACAGACCCACTCACACACTCACAGATGCTCACAGACTAACACCCTTAACACTAACTCACAAACTCACACAGACTCATAGAAACTAACACCCTTAACACTGACTCACAGACTCACACAGACTCACAGACTTTCACAGACTCTCACAGACTCTCACTCACACAAACTCACAGAAACTGGCACAGACTTGTAGCCTGCTGTGAGTGTGAAGCTTTGGAAGCTGCTGCTCACAGACTCACACAAACTCATGCAGACTTAAACACACACAGACTCGCAGAGACACAAGACTCACAGACTTAACACACACTCACAGACTCACATCCTTAACACTGACTCACACAGATCTGCACAGACTCGTAGACATAACACTGACTCACATGGACTCACACGGAATTACACAGACACGCACAGACTCACACAGACTCACACAAACTCACACACTCACACGGACTCCGACTCGCACAGAGTCTCAGTCTGTTACAGACCCACACAGACCACACACTTAACACAGACTCACAGAATCTCATAGACTCTCACAGACTCACACCATTAACACGGACTCACAGACCCTCACAGACTCACACAGAATCACAGACTTACTCAGACTTACAGGGACTGACACAGTCTCGCAATCTGTTGTGCGTATGATGCTTTGAAGCTGCTGCTCGCAGACTCACACAAACTCATGAAGACTCAAACAAACACACACAGACTCGCAGAGACACATAGAGACTCACAAACTTAACACACACTCACAGACACATCCTTAACACTGACTCACACAGATCCGCACAGACTCGTAGACTTAACACTCACTCACACGGACTGACACAGACTCGCACGGAATTACACAGACACGCACAGACTCACACAGACTCACACAGACTCACACAGACTCACACACTCACAGAGACTCATACGGAATCACACCAACTCGCACAGACTCTCAGTCTCTCACAGACGCACACAGACTCGCACAGACACATACAGACACAAAAAGACTCAGACTCACATAGAGAATCACAAACTCACACAGACTCACAGCCTAAACACAGACTCACACAGACCCATAGCCTTAACACAGACTCACCCTGACCCTTACAGACTCGCACAGACTCGCAGACTCGCACAGAGTCATAGCCTTAACACAAACTCACCCTGACCCTTACAGACTCACACAGACTCACACAGACTCATAGCCTTAACATAGACTCACCCTGACCCTTACAGACTCACCCTGACCCTTACAGACTCACACAGACTCATTGACTTAACACAGATTCACCCTGACCCTTACAGACTCACACAGACTCACATACACACACGGACTCACACAGATTCAGACTCGTAGCCTGCTGTGTATATGAAGCTTTGGAAACTGCTGGGAGGTGGAAGCGGAGGGCGAGGAGTTCACCTGAGGTGTGAGCCAGTGCCAGCGCCTCCTCACTGTCGCTCAGACTGCCTCCCGTGATGATGAACTTCAACAACATCGGCAACATCATAAACAACATCGCCACCATCAACATCATCAATATCATCATCAACAACATTACCATCCACATTATAAACAACATCACCACGATCATCGTCACCACCATCTTCCACATCATCAACATCACCATCATCAACATCACCATCACCAACATGACCATCATCATCATCACCACCGTCATCATTATCAACATCACCACCACCATCATCAACAAAATCATTATCACCACCAACATCATAAACAACATCATCACCAACATCATCATCAACAACATAATCTACAATATCATCACCACGATCATCATCACCACCACCATCCACATAATCAACATCACCATCATCAATATGACCATCATCACTACCATCATCAACATTATCAAGACTATCAACATCATGACCATCACTATCCACATCATCAACATCACCAACATCACTATCACCACCAACATCATCACCACCAACATCATCACCACCAACATCATCACCACCATCATCATCAACATCACCATCACCATCTCCAACACCATCCACATCAACATTACCATCACCATCCACAGCATTGCCAGCACCACCATCATCAACATAACCATCATCAACATCACTAACATCATCATCATCATCACCACCACCATCATCATCAACATCACCACTACCATCATCAACCCCATCCACATCAACATTACCATCACCATCCACAGCATTGCCAGCACCCATCATCATCATTACCATCACCGCCACCATCATCATAACCACAACCATCACCATAACCACCACAACCATCACCACCATCACCACCACCATCACTACCACCACCATCATCACCATCATCACCATCACCAACACCACCACCACCATCACAACCACCACAACCACCACTATCATCATTACCATCACCACCACCATCACCACCAGTACGAACCTTCTCAACGCCTGCATCCACCGCTCTGCGGATGACATCGTCAAAGTCGTCTATCGGGAGAGACAATGGGGAGAGCGGTACTCACTCAAATACTAATTAAATTACTCCCTCACCCACCAACCCACTCACTCACCTACTCACTCACCTACTCACTCACTCACCAATTCACATTCATTCGCTCACCCACTCACCCACTCACATTCATTCGCTCACCCATTAACCTACTCACCCACTCACTCACTTACCGACTCACTTACATTCACTCACCCACTCATTCACATGAATTTGCTCACCACTCACCCACTCACATTCACTTACCCACCTACTCACTCATCTACTCACATTCACCTCTGAGTGATACATCTCTGTGAGATACCTCTGAGCGAGAGTGATACCTCTGATTGATGCTTCTGCGTGAGTGATAACTCTGTATGAGAGATACCCTCTGAGTGAGAGTGATGTACCTTTGTGTTTCTGCTGGCCTCTGTAGATGCCTCTGAACATGGGGTCTGTTAGGTTCACCCCAATATCTGAGTGAGAGACACAAAGACACACATACGGATATGTACACACAATATCAACAAAAACGACCATTGACCACTCAGTGGCGGTGACGTCACGACGGCGCTTGTGCCATGCTAGCTGCACTTTCAGATACAAAGACAATGATCCCCCGTATAGCCTGTCACATACTGTTGGGGAAAGCGCTGTTCACGAGCAGCAGTACCCATGAAGGCTGGCACGGTACACGAGGGGGTGGGTGGCCAATACCACGATCGGCCGCCTTTGTTTCCCCAGTGGTGATGTTTACAGACCGCACCAGGTAACTCATTTGAGGCTGAGTCGACCTAGGGGAGACCCAGGGTCGGTTCAAATAATCGTCACTGGTGTTGGCCGTGAGCGGGAATCGAACTCAGGTCGCTGGGTTCATCGCACAGTGTAGCGCTGACCGCTGTGCTACCGCACACACACAAAGACCCCCCATTTAGTCTGTAACAGACTGTAGGGGTAAGAGCTGTTAGTAGCAAGTAGTAGCAGCACCTATGAAGGCTGGCACTGTAGCACACGCAGAGGGGGTGGGAGTTCAGCACTCACCACGCCTCTCGTACAAGCTGTTCATTATTTAGACATATTTAGTGATTTGCTTAACTTTGTTCTCTATGTTTCACACCTATCTGTAGTTATGAATTGTCAGTCACTGTTGTAACTTGTAGGACCCCGTGCCCATAACTGGAGATCTGTGAAAGAGCTTTATAGCTCATATTCTTTGGGTCTTTCGGTAAGGTCACGTAGATAGGTTCAAAAAATAAAAAAATAACCTATCTACGTGACTACCGAAAGACCCAAAGAATATGAATTCTGCAGTCACGAAAGCTTTAGGTCAAGATATAGCTTTATAGCTCGTTGCATTCCTCCTTCTGCAGTCTTAACATTATCCACAATAGAGGTGTTTGTGGGTTCGAGATTGCATAAGTATACATGTCATTAAACTCGCCACTACCACCCCAACACAGCCTATCAGTGAGAGGTTTGTCACGTTACACAATACGTGGCCAATGTAGTGGCTAGTTCAGCACTAAACCGGTTGTTGTGTTGGAGAGTTAAACCCACAGGAACATTTACACAATCCGAGTAGCTGGTGATTACAACAACCACAACAAGCAGCATCATTGGAGTATGAAAAATAAGAATAGGTTTTACCCTTTCCGGCAATAAAACACCAGATACTTTTTGCAAAGAATCAAAGACTGCATTAACCACACGTATTTGTGAACATGCAAACATGCTCTGATAATATATGGGCATTGTCTTTGAAACCGATTGGCCTACACCAGAAACAGCAGCCTTCTTCATGGCCGAGTCTATCAGTGTCAGACCCGAGAACAATGCCAAAATTCGATCACTTATAGCTCGGGTGAGCAGCATCATCAGAGTTGTGGAGAAATCCTCCCTTTCGTGTATTTGGCCTGAGACGGGCTGGGATAAATGTGATGTCGTCACTTGAGAGTCCATCAGGGTGCGAAGACCAGAGGGGAGGGTCAATGTACATGCTTTGCGATCTCCATTAACATGCTAATCTCTCACATTAACATAGCCACCTCAGGGTGCCCGCCGTGGACCACTCAACGATCTAACATTATCATGCTCATTTTTACTTGGCAGCCCTTTGATTGATGGGAAAACCTACCACCGTCGCTGCCCACCACTTACATTAACATTGGCTGCTGACATTTGGGCTAAGCCCATTTCAAACCTTTTTAAACAGTTTACCTTTAGAAGCTAACCCCCTCTTCCTGATGACGAACGCTTATGCTGCGATCGAAACGTCGTAGTTTTTTTTACTTTACCGAAAGACCCAAATAATGTCTCCCTATAGTGGCGATGTTTACTACACGTCCACTACGCCACATTAAGCAGTCACCTTTGCTCACTAATTTTTGCCCCGCACTCAAAGCTCACTTATTGATGATCCCTAGCTCACCCCACGACCCCCCACACTCTCCATCTCATAACCACCACCGTTACTGTTACCTCTTCTTATTCTCATTACACGGCTACCGCTCATCAACCCCACTCATTCAATCCATTCATCATTTACTGTCATCAATCTCGCTTTCACTGAATGCACGCATCACCATCACAGATTCGCCTCCAATTGCTTCCTCTCATCTATTTCATTCACCTCATCTCCACCATTACATTCATATGTTGTGCGCCCTTGTTAATTCTGCATAAAGTGCCTTGGAGAAGGCGCTATAGAAATTATTGTAAGATAAGCCAACTCATTTGAGCAGGGCCGGATCAAGGTTCGTGTAGGCTCGAGGTACTGTTTCGGCAGGCCTATCAGTGATGACTTTCCAGCAGTTGGCACTGCTGTTGTCCATGTCACCACTACCGCCGCTGTCACTTCCGCCCGTTTTTCACACGTCAGTACTTCGTTCGAATATGCTCAAAGCCCAAACATCTGACAAGCCGATCAGCCAGTGGCTCTCCAGAATGTTTACACTGCTTTAAGGATGTATATCTGGCCATTGTAGTCGGTCCACCCCGTCCCCTCTCCTGTCGAGGTGGGAGGTGCAGGATCCGCTCAATAGACAATAAAAATAATGGTTAGTTTAACACGTAGGCTTTCGCGACCAATGTCATCCATGATAGAGGTTTTTTGGGTTAGATCGCGTAAATATATAAAAGTGTCGTTAAAATCCGCCACCATGTGACAACTCTTACTAGTTGGCTGTCGGGTGGTGGCGGGTTTTAATGACACTTTTATATATTTACGCAATCTAACTCAAAAAACCGCTTATGGAAAAATAATGAAGCTTGGAGAAGATGGGTACGTGACTGCATTGTGTTGTCCTCCAGAGAAGTGTTGGGGGAGCGACCTGACCACGGCTGCAACGGCGATCAACAGACTCAGCCTCTATGTCACAACACAGCTGAAATTCTCGGTCAAGAAGATTGCCCCGAATCTACATCCGATCACCATTTGCCTGCTCTTAAACAATCCACACCTGGTCTACCTGCAGCTATGCAGAATGGTTTCCGATATTTCCATATGCTCGAGTGCACAATTATCCAGCGCGGTGTGATTAATCACAGGTAAGTTCGCACTGCCAACACCATCTTGGGAAACAAGTTGTGAAGGTGGAGCATTCTTTTTCCAAAGCCGATAAACCACAGGACGACACTTTGTCTTCCCTTGCACTTCTCCCTGTTGAGAATGAGATTGTGCGAAAAACGCCATTTGAAGAATGCTATTCGAAAACTTATCAATGAAGAAAATCTCGAAAAGTTAATCTCTGGTGTAAATTTCTCTCACACCTTATGAGAAAAAAGAACGATTAGCATGACTCAGCCTCTTTCTATATACGCGGTGCCTGTCCTGGCTATATACATATTTTTATTCGATAAGATATCTTGGTTAAATTTTTTTAAATAAAAAAAAACAGGGGTCAAAATTAGTTTTCATTGGCACTTTAGTTTTCGTAGGCACCAGACAGTGCCTACTACTGTAGCCTATTGGATAATACAGCCTTGGTGGATGAGTGGATGAATGAAGAGTGGGTGGCTGGGTGAGTGGGTGGCTGGGTGAGCGGGTGAATGAGTGGGTGGCTGGGTGAGTGGATAGCTGGGTGAGTGAATGAGTGGGTGGCTGGGTGAGTGGCTGAATGAGTGGGTAGCTGGGTGAGTGAATGAGTGGGTGGCTGGGTGAGTGGGCGAATGAGTTGGTGGCTGGTTGAGTAGGTGGCTGGGTGAATGAGTGGGTGGCTAGGTGAGTGGATGAATGAGTGGGTGGCTGGGTGAATGGGCGAATGAGTGGCTGGGCGAGTGGGTGTCTTCTATACTTTAGGCTGCTATATATTTCCAAACGATAAGCCACTTCACGGAGCTATCATTTGTAACAGCCACGCAGCTTCTAAAGAGCAACGTAGCTCAGTGGGCTTTAACTGTTTAAGAGAAAAAAGTTATATTTGTATATATTTAAAGTCATGTTTACCTTGCCTTTAGTTAACACTCCCATCGTGTTAATGGGTAGTTTATTGCAGTAACGTTGATCTCGTGCCCCACGCTGGATATCTATGATTAAAGAGCTTTATAGCTCATCGGATTGCGCCTCCTGCAGTATAATCATTGATTCTGTAACCGTGGCAACATGATCGGGCGGGAAGGAGGAGGCGGTGCAGCCGGTCTCCTCCGTGGGGTTCGAGGCAATGAATCCAGGCCACGGCGCTAGGCGAGACCGAGGCTTCACGCTAGCCCCGGGGAACTCGACTAGGCCTTGCCGCCAGTGTTTCCGTCCTCTACGGAGCTACAGGGTGCGGTCAGCGAGGCCGGGCGGGGTGAGGCGGTGGTCCTCTCATCGCGGCACTCAGCCACGGAGGGGAGAGGGATGAGGAGAAGGAATGGCGTCTTCTCTCACCCACGAATCTCAGCGCCGCGCTGCGAATAGCCGCCATTGCGAGAACGGAAGCCTCGCCACGCTCCCACTCGCCTGACGTCACGCCGAGCTGCAGGAACGCCCGGTGACATGACGTCACATCTCTCCCTCCCCCCCGCCACCTCCTGACCAGACGTCACTCGGGTGGTAACCCCCCCCCCCCTTTCACGTACAGCATGGCGTGACGTCTTTGATAAGCTGAAGGAACACCCGCTTACATGACGTCACGTTGCGTCACTGCCCCTTCTCTAACCAGACGTCACTCGGGTGCTGAACCCACCAAACCTCCGACGTGAAACGTCATCATACAGCCTAGCGTGACGTCATACGTGGTGTGAATTGATCAGATTCGCAAATTAAATTACAATCGATTAATCGAATTTGTCTATTTGGTTGGTGCTGATTGTCAACTGATCGTTGCTGTGGTTGTATCGATTTCACTCCGAGTTTTTTCTAGAGATACTGTGACCACTTTATGCGTGAAAGCGCATCCTTGATTTTAAATATGCTAATTAGTTAATGAACTGACTGTGCTGGGAATTGATTTCTCACTGGAAAGGTGAGACAGAGTCACTCACATGTACTGATTGAGATGGACCAAGAGTCACACACCTGCACTGATTGAGATGCACACAGTCACTCACCTGTACTGACTGAGATGCACGCAGTCACACACCTGTACTGGTTGAGATGCACACAGTCACTCACCTGCACTGAATGAGATGCACACAGTCACTCACCTGCACTGGTTGAGATGCACACAGTCACTCACCTGCACTGGTTGAGATGCACACAGTCACTCACCTGCACTGATTGAGATGCACACAGTCACTCACCTGCACTGAATGAGATGCACACAGTCACTCACCTGCACTGAATGAGATGCACACAGTCACTCACCTGCACTGAATGAGATGCACACAGTCACTCACCTGCACTGATTGAGATGCACACAGTCACACACCTGCACTGAATGAGATGCACACAGTCACTCACCTGCACTGAATGAGATGGGCACAGTCACTCACTGCACTGAATGAGATGCACACAGTCACTCACCTGCACTGAATGAGATGCACACAGTCACTCACCTGCACTGATTGAGATGCACACAGTCACACACCTGCACTGAATGAGATGCACACAGTCACTCACCTGCACTGACTGAGATGCACACAGTCACACACCTGCACTGATTGAGATGTACACAGTCACTCACCTGCACTGGTTGAGATGCACACAGTCACACACCTGCACTGAATGAGATGCACACACAGTCATACACCTGCACTGAATGAGATGCACACAGTCACTCACCTGCACTGAATGAGATGCACACAGTCACTCACCTGCACTGAATGAGATGCACACAGTCACTCACGTGCACTGATTGAGATGCACACAGTCACACACCTGCACTGAATGAGATGCACACAGTCACTCACCTGCACTGAATGAGATGCACACAGTCACTCACCTGCACTGAATGAGATGCACACAGTCATTCACTGAGACTTCGTCCCACCGACTTATTCCTTAAGTGGTGCTGCCTCTCTACTTCTCTGGTCCCGCCCATCTTCTTCTGGCCCCGCCCCTCTCCCTCTCTTTCTGCGCGCTTCGCGTGGCTGCCACCGGAGTTGATGGAGCCCCGAGTCTCATTCACTGCTGGCGTCTGAGAGAGGCGATGCAGCAGCGTGCAGGGCTTGCGATGATGGCCTGGATGGTGCTGCTGGCTCTACCGCTGCTCACGCTGGCGCAGCAAGGTACCGGCTACACCCACACGTGCACGCGTTTACATAACTGAATGGCCGATGTAAATTCTAGTGATATTCTAGAAGGCATAGAAAGCTGAGTGATATAAATTCTAGTGATGTTCTAGAAGGGCTAGAGAGCTGAGTGGCTGATGTAAATTCTAGTGATATTCTAGAAGGCTAGAGAGCTGAGTGATATACATTATTGTGATTTTCTATAAGGGCTAGAGAACTGTAGTGAGTGATGTAAATTCTAGTGATGTTCTAGAAGGGCTAGACATGTGAATAGTTAAATTATAGTTGTGATATTGAAAAGCTAGAGAGCTGAGTGATGTATATTCTAGTGATGTTCTCCAAGGGCTAGATAGCACACAATGACTCACATACTCTCACAGAGACCCACAGACTCACATAGAGACCCACAGTCTCACACAGAAACCCACAGACTCACACAGAGACCACAAGACTCCCAAAGAGACACACAGGCTTACATGGAGACCCACAGGCTCACACAGAGACCCACAGACTCACACAGATACCACAGGACTCACATAGAGACCCTCAGACTCACACAGAGTACCACAGTCTCACATAGAGACCTACAGACTCACATAGAGACCCACAGACCCGCATAAAGACCCACAGACTGACACAGAGACCCACAGTCTCACACAGAGACCCACAGCCTCACATAGAGACCCACAGACTCACGTACAGACCAACAGACTCACGTAAAGACCCACAGACTAACCTAGAGACTCACTGACTCATATAGAAACCGACAGACTCACGTAGAGACTCACTGACTCACATAGAGACCCACGAACAACATTTAAGTGGTTTTCCGCTTGCCTAACACTTTGAGAGTTTTTTTTTTAACTTGGAAGATACAAACAGGTTGTCTCTCTCATCCCTACAAACACGGCCACTACAACCATGACCACCACTGTCACCATCACCATCATCACAGTCAGCAGGATCAGCAATACAATCATAACCACTATCAGCACCCTCACAATCAGCACCGCCCCCACGGAAACCATCACCACCACTGCCATCATCATCACCACCGCCATGATCACAATACCACTGTCACCATTACCACCACTGTCACCATTACCAACACTGTCACCATCACCACCACCGCCATCACAATACCACTGTCATCATCACGACCACTGCCACCTTCACAATACCACTTCCACCATCACAATACCACTATCACCATCACCTCCACTGTCATCATCACGAACACTGTCACCATCATGAACACTGCCACCATCACAATACCACTGTCATCATCACCACCACTGTCACCATCACGAACAGTGCCACCACCATGAACACTGCCAACCATCACAATACCACTGTCACCATCACCAACACTGTCAACACCACTCCTACAGCGGCACATTGCTGCCCATTCTCCACACGGCGTGGCAGTGAAGAGTGGCGGTCATTTTTGGCTGCGGAGTTGAATGTGTGGGGTAAGGAAAGTGTGGACGCATGACCAAGACAGCTGAGGTCAAAGAGGAAATTGAGCCACGGAGTTTCTTAATGAGAGAGGCTTTGAGGGCAGAATAAGTGAGAAGCGAGCTTCTGAGAAGTGCCAGAATGTGGTGCCACCACACGACCCACCCACACCCAACGGGAGAGCCCAGCAAGCGGGACGAGGGTAGTGTAGTATATAGTAGTGTAGTCTATCGTAATGCAGTGTACATTGTAGTGTATAGTAGTGTCGTGTATAGTGTAGTGTATAGTGTAGTCTATCGTAGTGTGTGTAACACAGCAACACAACTGCTAACTTCTGCAGTGATGGGTACACGGGGATTCTCATCGATGCGGAACCACAGACGAGACCTTTATTTAGAGCGGTAGATACAAAATGACAGAGAGATATGGAAAGTGGGCGCATTGTCCGCATGTTCATTTTGCTACTTATATCCTCCCAACAACGCAGGGGCGTTGTGTAATGCATGGTTTTGTTTGTACGTTTATCGAGAAGCCGTAGACATCTGACAGGCGCATGTTCAGCGTGGGTTCAAGCGAGCTCTGACTGTGGCGCTGATGAGGCACTGAATGCCGAAACCGGCCCAGAGTTTCCTTGTCTTAAACCAGTGCTGGTTATTAACATTTGTTGCAGCCTTGCACCCCTTTGGTTCTCTCATTCGTTAACAATGTACAATGTTAATACATACATAGACTTGGTGAAACAAAGCAGTTGTACTTACGTGCCCGTGCTGAAGTTGTGTTCGATTATTTACCTTCTAAGAAAATCTGGCCATGTCTCGCATTCCTAGAAAGGTCATCTCGCAAACCAGTGGGTGCGTGCTGCGGCTCAAGTTAAGAAGCACCACTGCCTCCCAGTAGGCTGGTGGCTGATGGAGGAGTGGATTGTCTCCACACTTATCATTGCCTCCTCCTCCTTCAACTCCGCTGGCTTCACGTTCACTACACCGCCGTCTTCTCAGATATCCGACGACGCTATATGGAATTGAAATCTCAGAATCAGAATGTTTATTTATACTGCAGCAGGAGGAATCCAAAGAGCTATACATATGTTTATTACAGATGTCCAGCAGGGGCACGGGGTCAGAACGTTACAACACCAAACACGATACTCACAAACACGATAGGAGTGCAAAGTATAGGAAAGGTAAACAAATCACTTCACAAAGTAAACAAATACAACTAATGAAACAAGATTTGACCAGGTAAGGTCCGCCACTGAGCTATGCAGCTCTTTTTCAGAAGCGACCTGGCTATCACAAATGACAGCTCAACGAAGTGGCTTGTCATCATCATCATGTGGACATTTCTCACAGCCAAATGCTCTAAACCCGTGTTTCTAAATGTGGAGGGAAAACCAAGAGGACCGCGAGAAAGATCCACGCGACTACGGGGAGAGAGAGAGACACGCGCACTCAAAATATACAGCAGCAGGCGTCATTGTCGGGATCGAACCCACCCACGACCTCCTGTATACCAGGCGAGGTAGTTAACATCCCGCCATCGCGGCATTCCACCTGGGAATAAATGCCCCCCTCCCCTTTCCCTTATGGGTTTTGAGTTGACAGTCACTTTCGGAACCTCAAAGACAAAGATCCCCCGTTTAGCTTTAACAGACTGTAGGGGCAAGTGCTGTTAGCGAGCACCTATGAAGGCCGGAACGGTACACGAGGGGGTGGGTGGCCAGCACCACGCCCAACCGCCTTTGTCTCCCAGTGACGATGTTTACTACACACTGCACCAGGTACTCATTTGAGACTGAGACGACCTAGGGGAGGCCCAGGACCGGTTCAGATAATCGTCACCGGTGTTGGCCGTGAGCGGGAATCGAACCCGGGTCGCCAGGTTCGTAGCGCAGCGCGCTAAACCGCTACTACACTACCGCTCCCCACACTATGGGCTCCGAGTTGACAGTCACTCTCGTAGCCTCACACACAGACACACATCACACACGCTCGAACCACAGCGCCCCATTGCTCCAGAGGCCCCCCCTCCCACCCCCCAGGGCACGCTCACAGAAAGCAGAAGCGCCGTGTGCCCCTTGCGAGGCACCGCGTGGCGCAATCCGACCGCAGGGCGGCGCTTCCGTGTTGCAGCGCCACCCCCTCCGCTCACTTCACGACCTTTTTAAATCCTTTATATTAAGTTCGCTTGCTTGCTTGCGTGCTTGCTTGCGTGCTTGCTTGCTTGCTTACGACCGTGCAAATCTTTCGGTCGTTTTTCAACCCACTTCCCGTGATCCAATCGAGCTGACATTTTCCACACAGACTCGTTGTGCGAGACAATTAATGTTCGTGAAAAAAATTCCCAAAAATTTTACACTGTTTAGGGAAAACAAATTAAATATTTAATTACCAATTGCTTAATACTGGCAGACAATCATCTGACCCATATGTGGCAGCCATCTCAAGCCAGAGGACGAGAAGACTCTAGCCGCCACGCATATAAAGGATTTATAGTGAAAAGCTTTGTTTTTACGGGTTTACTTGTTTTTGCTGCTGCTGCCTTCCACCCGAGCAGTAAAAGTATCAGCAAACACGAGGCATTCTGAGACGTCAACCGTACTTTGTGTTTCCCTAGCGTCTTTCACGGCAACAGCAGCAGCAGTAGCAGCGTGTCGACTCGTTTTACGGTGAAATAATTTGTAATGAGGAAGTAAAAACAACTGGAAAAGTGCGAAAAAACAAAATTGACTAGGAAGGAAAATATTTTGACATATAAGGCCACTGATAGCTAGTCAACAACTTGCCCAACCATATCTTGCCACTCTTGTATCTTTCTCTGTGTCGCCTTCTAGCCCACTACGTTCTAAATCGTTGCTGTCTCTCTCTCTGTTCCTCCTCCTTCTCCTTGTGCTCAATCCAAGCTTTTGTTCTTTCTCTGTCTTCTCTGCCACCCCATTAACTGGAAGAAAATATCCCAGTCTCCATATTAAGCAGTCGCCTTCGCTCATTAGTTTCCATTCTTCACTCAAAGCTCACCTATTGTTCCCTAGCTCACCCCGACGACCCCCCTTAATCTCCCCCTCATCACCACCACCGGTTTCTGTTCCCTCTTCATATTCTCATTACACGGCTATCACTCATCAACCCCACTCATTAAATCCATGCATCATCATTCACTGTCATCAATTTCATTTCACCGAATACACGCATCATCATCACCACAGATTCGCCTCCCATCGCTTTCGCTCATCTATTTAATTCACCTCATCTTCTCCATCACATTCATATGTTGTGTACTCTTGTTAATTATTTGTATATGAATCCCATTAAGATAACAACTTGAATAAGCCTCGGATTTTGCATTCGATTCTTTGGCAAAGCCGACTAAATCCACAGCTCGAGGCTTCTCTGGTTAACGATTTGAGTGTTAACGACAGGACTGTGGATATCGTAGCACAATTGTGGCGACAATGCAACAAAATAACCCTGGTTTTCCACTCCCGCTCACGGCCAACACCAGTGACCATTAATTAAACCAGGGGTCCTCAAACTACGGCCCGCGGGCCACATGCGGCCCGCCGAGGACATTTATCCGGCCTGCCGGGTGTTTTTGCCGCCGCTGCCTGTCTGTTACTTTTTTCTATATGAGAAGGACGGTCATTGGTGGAAGAGGGAGAGGGGGCGGAGTTCCCCCCAATCAGACTGCATTGATGGGTAGTGCAGTCTGTATGTCTCTGTGTGGGCAAAGTTATTGCTGGTATATTGTTTTTGTAGCGCTGTATATATATTGGTATTTTACTAATAGCAATTTTGACTCCCTAGGAAACAATGATGTCAAGAAAGAGAAAAATTGACTCGGAGTGTAGGATATTCAAAGAACAGTGGACTTATGATTACTTTTTCATGCAGTACAAGGAAAGAGCTGTGTTTCTGATATGCCAGAATATAGTGTCTGTGTTCAAAGAATACAATTTACGTCGACACTATGAAACTCAACATAAAGATAAATATGCTTGTTTGGTCGGAGAAGTGAGAAAAGATAAAATATTAAAACTGAAAAATACATTAACAACTCAGCAAAATACTTTTGTGAAGCAGAAGCAGCTAAATATTGCATCACTGCGAGCAAGTTTTCAAGTTGCCAAGCTAATAGCATGCACTGGCAGACCATTCGTGGAGAGAGAATTTGTTAAAGAATGCCTTCTTTCTGTTGCCAAAGAGATGTGTCCACAGAAGGCCGATTTATTTAGTACAGTGAGTCTTTTAGGACCTACAATCACACGGAGGATTGAAGAAATGGGAGACAATTTGCATCAGCATTTGCAAAACTCCACAAAAAAACTTTCCTATTTTTCCTTGGCACTCGACGAAAGCAATGATGTTCGTGATTCTGCACAACTTCAAATTTTTATTCGTTGGACGAATGACTATTTCGAAGTCACAGAAGAGCTTGCTGCACTGCAAAGCATCAAAGGAACAACTACAGGAGAGGATATCTTTCGATTTAGAGCTTTCGTGACTGCAGGGATTCATCTTCTTGGTTCTTTCGGTAAAGTCACATAGAAGGGAAGTAATAAAATAATTCTCACGACGTTTCGGCCACAACGCAAGCAGCCGTCCTCAGGTGAAAACCAGGTCTGTCGGGGAGACAGCGTCTGAATGAAACAGCACACGAGCTTGGAGCATATATAAGCTGGGTTGGAAACGGGGGAAAGAGAGCCTTGACAAAAGAATTTGCATATCAAGAGGAATTTAGCATATTTATGGGAAATGCAGGAATGTGATTAGTACTACATATGCCCGTGCTGCATATGTAGTACTAATAACATTCCTGCATTTCCCATAAATATGCTAAATTCCTCTTGATATGCAAATTATTTTGTCAAGGCGCTCTTTCCCCCGTTTCCAACCCAGCTTATATATGCTCCAAGCTCGTGTGCTGTTTCATTCAGACGCTGTCTCCCCGACAGACCTGGTTTTCACCTGAGGATGGCTGCTTGCGTTGTGGCCGAAACGTCGTGAGAAATATTTTATTATGTTTTATTTTTATTATTTTATTACTTCCCTTCTACGTGACTTTACCGAAAGAACCAAGAAGAGAGGATATCTATGAAAAGGTTTGCCAAACTGTGAATGGTTTGGAGCTGAACTGGGCTAAACTAGCCAGTGTGACAACTGATGGTGCTTCTAGCATGGTGGGGTCTAAGAAAGGAGTAATTGCTCGCATTAACCAAGAGATGGACAAACATAACCATTCTCATCCAATAGCCATACATTGCCTCATCCACCAACAAGCGCTGTGTAGTAAATCACTGAAGTGGGACTCGGTTATGAAATTTGTGGTATCTTGTGTTAACTTCATTAGAGCTCATGCACTAAACCACAGACAATTTCAGGCATTTCTGTCTGAGCTAAATGTTGACTATGAAGATGTTCTGTATCACACAGAAGTCCGTTGGCTGAGTCGAGGGAGAGATTTGAAACGTTTCTATGACTTACTTCCACAGATTACAGCTTTTCTGTTTTAAAAAAAACAAAGAAGTACCAGAGCTCAATGATGCAGAATGGAAATGGCACCTTGCCTTTCTGACAGATGTAACAGAGCTACTCAACAGTTTCAATGTGCAACTTCAAGGAAAGGGGAAGCTCATCTGTGATATGCAATCACATGTCAAAGCATTTGAAGTAAAATTAGGCCTCCTCATCAAACAAGTGAAGGAGGAAAACTTCTGCCATCTCCCCACAACTCAAAATCTGTTACTGGAAAAACCATTGGTTGCATTCCCAAACAAAACGTGTGGATTCACTGGAAAAATTGCAAAAGGAGTTCCAATTTGGATTTAAAGAGCTTCATCTCCATGAACAGGACATACAGCTTTTCCGTAACCCATTTTCTATTGACATTGAACATGTGGATACAATTTACCAAATGGAACTGGCTGAACTGCAGAATTGTGACTCTCTGAAAGACGCATTCAAGTCAAGCAGCCTTCATAATTTCTATGCATCTCTCCCCTCTGAGACATATCCTCATCTCAGGAACCATGCACTCGAAATGGCAACCATCTTTGGCAGCACTTATGTCTGTGAACATACTTTTTCCAGAATGAAACATTTGAAAACTCCAACCAGATCTAGACTAATGGATGCACACTTGCATCACTTGTTACGACTAGCAGTGACAAATATGGAACCGGACATTGACCATCTCATTAGCCAAAAGCAGGCCCATAGTTCCCATTGAAATACTGGCAAGTTTGTTGATTTAACTTTACTTCTTCATTTTAAATATTGTATTTGTTCCCGTTTAGTTTCTTCACTTCAAAATAAGATATATGCAGTGTGCATAGGAATTTGTTCATAGTTTTTTTTAACTATAGTCCGGCCCTCCAACGGTCTGAGGGACAGTGAACTGGCCCCCTGTTTAAAAAGTTTGAGGACCCCTGAATTAAACCGTTCCAGGGCCTGCCCAAGGTCTACTCATACTAAAATGGTGCCTTTTGAAAGCATCGCAACTGGGGAAACAAATGCGGCAGTGCGTGGTGCTGGCCACCCACCCAGTTGCATGCCGTGCTGGCCTTCGTATGTTCTACTCATTTATAGCACCTGCCCCAACAGTTTGTTCAGGCTAAATGGGGGACCTTTGTCTTTTGCTACCTGGCAGGTCAATGAGAGATGGCGACGGCTTGGGGAGGTCTTCATCCAGCAGTGGAATGAGCTCCATTGAGGTTAATTAAGACATCGGTGTTTATACATTTCTGTGTTTATACATTTGTGTGTTTGTGTGGAATTAAAGACCTCGCAATCGACAAATCTGGGGTGTATGCAGTCAAGGACACGAGAAAATCAGCCAAGATGGAGCAGCATTCCAAGAGCGAGCAGCAACTGGTTGTCGATGAGGAAGTCGCTAATGGTGAGGAGGCGGAGAGAGAATATCTCGCGAATCTCTCAGATCTGCTCTCTCTCGGCAGGGGTGTGGGAATCCGGTGCCTGTTTTGTCAGCTCCTGCTGGACTGAGACTGTGGAAAAAGTTCACAATGTTCCAGCCCTTCCAACCACTGCCATTGGAGCAAAATAGTGAATACAACTTTAAAAATTGCGTCCTATACTTACATTTATAAGCGAACCACACCATGATGTGTGCTCTCACAAAATACCTCGCCTCCCCTTTGGCCGAATTCCCCAGAACCTGATTGGTTCCGGGCTCATCCGGTGCCTCAGCGATTGTCAGTCTGCATGATGTCACGAGCCACTCGTGTCGTGACAAGCCCCTCGTGTCGTCACAGGACCCTTGTGATGTCACAAGCATCTCATGTCACAAGCTGCTCGTGTCTTAACAAGCCCCTCATGACGTCATAAGTCCCCTGTGTCATCACAAGCCGCTTGTGCCGTTACGGAGCTTGTGATGTCCCAAGTCCCACTATGAGGCAGAAATGAGCTCTTATTGTACTGTGCGCGTGTGTACCCATGTGTGTGTCTCGGGAGCGGTAGTGTAGCGGTTAGCGTGCTGCGCTACAAACCCGGTGAGCCAAGTTCGTTTCCTGCTCATGGCCAACACCAGTGACATCTAAACAGGTCCTGGGCCTCCCCTAGGTCGACTCAGTCTCAAATAAGTACCTGGTGTGGTGTCAACATCGGCAATAGGGAAACAAAGGCGGGCGGGTGTAAGTGCTGGCCATCCACCCTCTCGTGTGCCATGCTGTCCTTCATAGGTGCTGGTCACTAACAGCACTTGCTCCAACAGTCTGTTAAGGCTACGCGCGGGATCTTTGTCTGTGTGCGTCTTACCATCAGCCCCACCAAAACTAAGCATCTGTACCATCGGAAACTCCACCCCCACAACTCCCTGGGCAGTGTGCTGATGACCGGCTCTGGTTTGACAGCAGAGGTCTCACTCCGAATCAGTCGAGCGGCATTATCTTTTCATCGGTTGCATAACGCTGTGTGGAAGCTACCTGGTCTGTCACTCTACACGATTCTTCAGGTCTTCTCAGACACAGTCATTCTCTCCATTCTCTACGCTTGCGAAACGTGGACCCCTCCTAAAGGAACATCTTCACCGGTTAGAAACATTTAGGCTGGCCTGCCTACGATCCATCCTGGGCTGGATTGTATCAGGAGCTCACAAATCCTTGAAAGATCTGGACAAAGTCCCATCGGTGAGCTCCTCCAGCAGGCAAGGCTGCATTGGAGCCACTGCACGCCTAAACAGCTTTTGTTCGACCGGATCGAGGGGGCTAAACGTGTGCGTCACGGGCTAGAGAAGAGATGGAGTGATGTGGTACTGGAGGACGTGGAGCTGAGTGGACTTGCCAATGACTGGTCCAGTGGTGTCAAGATCGGCCTCTGTGGAGGAGGCTCGTGAAGGACGCTACTGGGCAGTTGGAGGCAGTCGCCCTCCAACGACAACGGAGGGGGGAGGAGCGACGCTCACAACAATGAGCGGAGCATCGGGTGGATAAAGCACAGTAAGTTGACATAGTAGGGGGCACATGTGATGCATCAGCCAGTCATCTCAGTCAGTCGACCTGTGGCACCTGGGTCTGCCCCATGACCTGCTGCCAGTGGGCATTCGACACTTCACGTGGCCTCAACGTGCACATAGCCTGGCACAATCGTCATGGTGACGTCACCGCCACTTCGTGGCGAATGGCGGTTGTTGTTGTGTGCGTATACCCAAGTGTGTGTGTGCATGTACCTATGAGTGTGTGCGTGTACCCATGTGCGTATACCCATGTGCGTATACCCATGTGCGTATGTGTACCTATGAGTGTGTATTCATGTGCCCCCTCCCCTGTGCCCCATAATCTTTCAGACTGTAATCTTTCGATCCCGCCGTCTCCACTCCACTCGACTCCACGTGCGACCACCACTCTCCCGTGTCACGCCCGTTCTTCGCGCTGCATCCTCGAGATGATCACGTGGTCGAGAATGATTTCCTTTGAGGAAGTAGAGACGATAGTGACCTGCAACGGGAGCCTTTGTGAGGTCACGGCATCAGGGTACCAGGGCAGAGTTCGTCTGGTCACGTCACAGCCCCACAACGGCTCACTGATCCTCACCGATGTGAGGTTAAATGACACCGCGAGATACGGCTGCGAGCATCAATGGAGACGCGGAGATGTAATCGAGACGAGCACGATCACTGTGGATCTCAACGTCACTGAACGTGAGTGCTGGATGCTACGTCATCATCGGAGAGCGAGCTCCCAAACACACACACGCCAGAGAAAACATCGCATAGGTTGATGTTCATGGGTTGTTGCCAGGGTACAAATAATAATAATATACATTTACAAGCAGTTTTCACTCGCTTTCAAAGAGGAAAGATTTAGTCAGATGCACGAGTAACCAACGGACCAAAGGGAGGGTTGCCGGGCCGTGAGCTGTCTCTAACAATCACCTAAGCTCTGCGTTCAAGTTCAAGTTTATTTATTAGGTATAGCCCTGTGAGCCATTCGGCTCTTGAATCGGGTGCAACCGCAACAAACAAAAACACAAAAACATGAACAAAAAAACATCTTAAAGTGAATATGTAACTGAGTGCAAACAGAAAATCCAAAAAAAGACAGCAAAATATTGCAGAAAAAACACCGTACACCAACGCTGTGTGCAAAAATCACAGTGAGATGCAAGTCAAACAACAACAACAACAAGACAACTTAGATTAAGGCCATCAGTCTAACTCTGTACTACAACAAACAAACATGGCTAAACCAATACACTTTTCTAAATCACCAAAATAAAGTCATGAAAGCAATGAAACAGTAATCATAGGAACTGTGATGGAATTTTCACAATAAATGACATAAACAACATGTATTACCAAAACCCTGCAGCCATAGCTGGCTGCATGAGTCACTCCACAACAGCAGGAGCATCAATCGGAGTATTATAATTTTTCAATGCATTTTTAAGATCAGCACACTAAATCAATACACAGGTCATACTTTGCAGCGATCATCCGGAGCGAAACATTTTATTTTAGGCCACTGAATAGCACTGGCAGCTAGGGGTGTACAACTCCTCTAGAGCAGTTTTGAGTAAAGATCTCAAATGTAGTGACTCAAGTTTCAATTTATTGGCAACAGCATTCCAGACCTTGGGGGCATCAATAGCAAAGGCCCTTCAGTATTTGTACGGCAATAAAGAATGTAAAGCTGGTAAATGAGCGAAGACCTTAGGTCAAATTTGTTCTTTGAAACAGGTAATCTGCGGATTTTTTTTGTAAGTACATCATGAATAAATAAGATCTGGTGCACAAGCCGTCGAACATTCAGAGATATTAAGTTTGACCCAATGTAGAGATCACAGTGGTGAGTCATATATGGGCAGTTCAATGCAAATCTTAAGGCCGAGTGATACATTGAGTCAAGCTTCTTCAGTACAGTACTTTGGGCTGATTTATACAGGATGTCACAGTAATCAAGTAGAGGCAGTATGGTAGCTTTTATCAATTAAAAACGGAACATAGGGGGGAAGCAGTACTTGTGTCGATATAGAAAACCAATTTAAATGTTTGTCTTTTTCCCAATATAATCAATGTGATCTTCAAAATTCAGTTTTGAATCCAGGATGACCCCAAGATACTTATAGATCTTGACTTGCTATATTTGATCATTATTTAAGGAATGTAATTGGGGGGAAATAACTTCCCGTTTTAGTCCTGGTGAGAAGCATAGCACATTGGTTTTGGCAGGATTTAGGACTAGTTTAAGAGCAACTAGCTAATGTTGTAGTTTGTTTAAATCACTCTGGAGCTTAGCAATCACGTCATCCGGAGAGCGGCCAGCAGTAATCGGTACAGTGTCATCTGCAAAAGATTTACCCTGGAGTGATCCAGTTCAGTGCCCAAGTCATTTACATAAAGAGAGAACAAGAGGGGGCCGAGAATGGAACCCTGTGGAACCCCTTTCGACACATGGAGATGTTTCCAGCCAAACTACACATCCTGCTCAATTCCATTGCAGTATTTTTCCCTTCATAAATACATATCATATAATACTTTTCAAATCGTGTTTATCTTCACAATCTCCATTTCGACTATTGTATAATGGGAGTGATAATTGAATTTGTTAATTTTACCAAATCCATCACGTAAGTGGGTATGCATGTTTAACTTACGTACGTTTCCAACCGTGATGATCGGAGGTGTGGGGGGAAGGACAACAAACTAAACACAACAACAAGCAGCCGTTTTAAAGAAAACAGTTTGCCAATCTAGATGGACGATTTAAAAGTTGCATAGCTTCCAAATATTGGAAGGGAAGAATGTTCCAGACGGCCACAGCAGCAGCACATCTGAAAGCGCTGCGTGATGATGCGGTGACCAACGTCTTTGTTCGATGGCGAGCCAGAAGTGGAGTGTATCGTGTAGTGTATAGTGTATTGTAGTGTATAGTGTAGTGTATTGTAGTGTATAGTGTGTGTATAGCGTAGTGTATAGCAGTGTATAGCAGTGTATAGCGTAGTGTGTAACGTAGTGTACAGTGTAGTGTATAGTGCAGTATATAGCGTAGTGTGTAACGTAGTGTATAGCGTAGTGTTTAACGTAGTGTATAGTGTAGTGTATAGTGCAGTATATAGCGTAGTGTGTAACGTAGTGTATAGTGTAGTGTATAGTGCAGTATATAGCGTAGTGTGTAACGTAGTGTATAGCGTAGTGTGTAACGTACTGTATAGTGTAGTGTATAGTGTAGTGTATAGCGTCGTGTATATAGCATCTAAAAGCACCACGCGATGATGACTAGCAGTAAAAAGCCGCTGCTGCTGCTGGGAGGAGGCGTTCTTAGTTTCTCGTTCTCCAGAGGGGACCACGATTTCGCCTCAAGTCACCGAAGCTGGGCAAAAGGAACGCAAATCGGACGAAGGCCGAGGGAGCCATGGCAAGGTTGAAGCAGTGGAGCCAGGTGGGGGGTGGCGTTCCATTGGGCTGCTGCTTGCCGCTTTGTCTGACCGAGTGTGGCGTGAGAGGGGCACTTGGTCCACCATTTGCTACGTTGTTCAGTGTTGACCAATTACACGCGATAATCATCATCATCATCGGCTAGTTGGCACAGTGGTAAGACTCGTGCCTCAGAAAAAAAGCAGCTGAGTTTGATTTATTTCCCGTGGTGGTACTGCTGTTTGTACTTTCTCTCCCTATGTTCTGCTTTGCATTCCTCTGGGTGTGCATTGGTTTTCTCTGGGTTCTCTGGAATCGTCCCATAGCTAACAACAACAACAAATTTAGTAGAATGAAACTTGTATTAATACCAAACAATCCGTTGCTTGGAAACCTCCCTGCCTGTAATTTACTCAACTGGGACTACACACAGACACATTGAAAACGACTGAAAACCCTTATGGAAAAAAGGCTTGATATATAGTCAGGCTTTACTGGGTGAATGGGCATAATAGATTATCGAAAATTATCATCACCATATTCATCAATTATCATCGTCTTAAACAACACCAAGTATTGTAGTAGATAATTCTGGGTAATGCTTCTCACTTATAAGTCTTATTCTTTTTAAGACACAACCAAAATGTCGTATTTTAGCCGGTTTGTCTCTCGCCTTTCCAAACTTTGCAAACACCAGCGGCTTTTGTGTGATCACACAAACTCTGGATCGGACTCGCCATTGCGTGGCTCATCAGCAGTGTGAGGTGTAACTTAATGGGAGGGGATGCTCGTGACAATGGCAATGGCTTTGTCGTTGTATGCGTGCTTTTTCCCCTCTGGAAAACGAGAGAACGGGGAGCGGTCGTGGAGTGGTTTGCACGCTGCGCTGCAAATCCGGCGATCCGAGTTCGATTCCCACTCACGGCCAAGACCAGTAACGATTATCTGAAGCGGTCTTGGGCCTCACCTAGGTCGACTCAGCCTCAAACGAGTACCTAGTGCAGTGTGTAAACTTCACTACTAGGGAGACAAAGGCGGCCGGGCGTGGTGCTGTCCACTCACCCCCTCGTGTACCGTTCCGGCCTTCATAGGTGCTCGCTAACAGCACTGGCCCCAACAGTCTGTTAATGCTATAAGGGGGATCTTGTCTTTGTACCTGCTTCAATATTAAGCTGCACTTTCATGGCATTTCACAGATTCGCATTAATGTTGCATTGAGCCCGGAGTGCCATTGACGTGGTTATAGACAAAGGCGATGACATTGAGGCATTGAGAGAAAAGAAGCAAGAATAGAAAATAGTGAGATTGCGAATGTGAAAGGAATGTGTATGCTTGGGAAGTCGACTGCCATGGGGCAATGATTGCACGATGACACAATAATTATAATAATTTAAATGTATAAAGCGCCCTTAAATAATCGTTCTAAGTAGGAGCGAGGAATGGCAGAGAGCAAGAGGAGTAATGGCAGGGTGCTGTAACATCTGGAGAATAACATGCGTGTTCAGTAAAAACCTTGTACGTTTTCCCACGTAGCAGGCTTTTGCAAGCAACGTATTTCATAATAAAGGATCTGTTGGGTTAGATGGCGTAAGTATACATTTATACTATTTTATACCTACGTGACTTTACCGAAATAACCAAAGAGTATGGATCCCTGTAGTCACGAAAACTTCAAATCAGGATATAAATGTGTCGTTTGCCCTCCACCACCCGACACAGCCAATTCTGGCACAATTTTCCCGATGATGCTGGATGTTGTAATTACCAGCGGAACAAATCGGTACTCAAAGTTGTTAATGTATTCGATTTACTCTCCAAAACACCGATTAGTGCTGAACTAACAACTAATTTTACACGTGCTGTGTTACGTGACAAACCTTACTAATTGGCCGTGTCGGGTGGTGACGTCTTTAACGATGCATTTTTATTTACGAATGCTATTACTAATTCCTAGATTGAAAATACTTTCTTTAGAACTGCAGCTTATTGTTGTTTAGTTTGTTGTCCTTCCTAACCTCCGATTAGCACGGTTGGCTACGTACGGCGCAAAAGAAGTTCAACATACATATATACTACATTAAACACTACAATAAACACTACACCATACACTACATACTCACTACACACGACACTATAACAACTATATACTACACTACTATATACGATACACTATTCATTACTACATTACTATACCAAATTTAAACCTAATTTCTTTAGAACTGCTTGTTGTGTTTAGTTTATCCTTCCCCTGCACCACCGATTAGCACAGTTGGCTATGTATAGTGTGAAATAAGTTCAACATTCACACCCTACACTATGCACTACACGATACTATAATACACACAAGACTAATATACAACTATACATTGCACTATTATATATATACACTACACCACTATACTAAATTAAAAGCATATTCAACATACACACATAGTCTGTGCGTTCTTAAACCCATCTGTTTCCTGCCAGAATGATGCTTTGTGTTGTAGGTTAGAGCCACCTCTCGGACAGTGGTGGATTTGGTCTCTGTTGCCTTTTCAGAGCAAGAAACCAACACTGCAGCCCATGTGCCTATGTGGTACTACATGCCGGCAGTGGTGCTAGTGGTGGTGATGGCAGTGGGTCTGCCACTCCTGTATCATTTCACATGTAAGTACAAATATAATAATTATTAATTATTGGTTGTTATTGATAACGCCGGACCATTTTGCATCACATTCACAATCGCCGTAGTATAGAGTGTAGTGTATAACAGTGTATAACAGTGTATAGTGTATAATAGAGGTTTTTGGGTTATATCGCGTAAACATATATGTGTCGTTAAAACCCGCCACCACCCGACACAGCTCAACTAGTAAGGGTTGTCATGTAAACAGAACATGGCAATTCGTCACTAGTACAGCACGCCGGTGTGTTGGAGAGCCAAGCCATAACATTAACAATCTGAGTACGACGCTTCGCCAGTAATTACAAATAGCTTCATCAGGCGACAGCCAGATTTGTGGAGAAGTCTTACTGTTTCGTTCCCTATATAGAGGCGTAGATGTGTTGATCACCCTTCTGTGCTCTTGCACAATGTGGGCGGGGGGGGGGGGGATTACCGAGGCAACGTACATTATGCATCTGCATTATGCGAGCCCTTTGAATTTGTCCTTCCTGGTTATTGTGTCTATTAAAATAGCCCTACCCCCTTTTTTTCTGGCAACAAAATGGAAACCTTTTTTTTTTTACAAGGAATCATGTGTGCATTAGCCATAACACTTGTCAAAATGCAAACAAAAACACATTGTCCTTGAAACTGGTTGGTCCACACCAGAGACGGCTTTCTTTTGAGCCTCGTCTCAATTGGTGCTAGACCAGAGGACGCCAAAAGGCGTACAGCTCAAAGACAACGCACTATTAAAGTAATGAGGGCTCGGGGTAAGCATCTACATCATTATACCTCCTTTGCCAGTACCAAAATACAATAATAGGGTTTACCCCCCCCCCCTCTATTATTATATTTATTATGTTTTGGAACTGGCAAAGGAGGTATAATGTTATTTTGATTTCGAAACATTATCTAATTAGTCTTGGCCAGTAGTAACTAGTTTTGCACAAAACTTCAACATTATAAAAATCAATTGAGTGTCCTTGTTGGCACACGTGTTCTGCTACTGCTGACAGTTGTATTTTGGAAAATTTATAATTTATCTGAAATATAAAATTCCCTGAAATATTACATTTTATCTCTCCCGACTGCACCCGTCATCTTTGACCCAGATATTGTCCCCTCTTAGGATTGGATGGCGATTACATAATAGTGCCTGTACCCAGTTACCCTCTTGCACCCACTAGATGGCGCTCTCTTATTACAGTAGTGTAGTGTATATTATAGTGTATGTTGTAGTATACAGCAGTTTATAGTTTAGTGTATAGAAGTGTATAGTGTATTTTATAGTGTAGTGTGCAGTGTATAGTGTAGTGTATAGTGAAGTGTATAGTGTGCAGTGTATAGTGTAGTGGAAAGCCGTGTATAGCGTAGTGTATAGTGTTTTGGAAAGCAGTGCATAGTGTAGTGTATAGCAGTGTATAGTGTAGTGGAATGCCGTGTGTAGTGTAATGGAAAGAAGTGTATAGTGTAGTGGAAAGCACTGTATAGCGTAGTGTATAGTGTTTTGGAAAGCAGTGCATAGTGTAGTGGAAAGCATTGTATAGTGTCGGGGGAAGCAATGTGTAGTGTAGTGGAAAGCAGTGCATAGTGTAGTGTATAGCAGTGTATAGCATAGTATATTGCGTATTGCATAGCAGTGTACAGTGTAGTGTAGAGGAGTATGTAGTGTGGAGTATCGTGTATAATATAGTGGAGTGTATAGCAGTGTATAATGCATTGTATAGTGTAGTGTATACTGTGCAGTGTGTAGTGTATATTGTGTAGTGTACAAAATAGTGTATAGTGTAGTGGAAAGCAGTGTATAGTGTTGTGTATAGTTGTGTATAGTGTAGTGTAAATAGCATCTGAAAGCGCCACGCGATGATGAGGTGGCCGTTTTTGTTTCACATTCGCAATAACCTTGATAATAAAAGCCATTTCGCCGTGCAACATCATCTACAGTGCAACGTGCGTCTCTAATTGCTGTCGTAAGGAATCTTGTGCAACTTATCCGTGGACTAAGACCCTCCCCTCCCCCATTCTGGCCTTTGCATCCTGAGTGGCTCACAATTGACGACATCACATTCATCCCTCACTCTACTTAAGACCAAAACCGGAGAGGAGGATTTCTCCACAACTCTGGCTGTCGACTGATGAGTTTGGTTTGTTTTTGTTTTTGTAATTACTGGCGAAACGTCACCAGCTACTCTTATTATAAATGTCAGCTGTTGGTTTACTCTCCAACACACAACTAGTTAGTGCTGAACTAGTAAATAATTGACACGTTTTGTTCACGTGACAAACCCCTTACTGATTTGCTGTGTCGGGTGGTGGTGGTTACAGGTTTAACAACTTATTCATATTCATGTGATCTATAACCCAAAAATATGCTATTATGGACAATAATCATACAGTGCATTCATTAACGCGCCAATTACTATTAATAATAACAGGGCGCCACGGTGGCTAGCAGATGTTAACTACCTCGCCTGGTATACAAGAGGTTATGGGTTCGATCCCAACACTGACGCCTTTTGTATATTGGAGTTGGCATATCTATCTCCCCGTGGTTGCATGGATTTTTCTCTGGGTCCTCCGGGTTTTCCCCTCCACATATAGAATCATCATCACGCGGTTTAGAGTAATTTGGCTGCTATAGATTTACACACGATGATGATAAGCATCTGCATTGAACTATTATTTGTGATAGCCAGGTTGCTTTTGAAAAATATCTATATAGCAGCTCAGTAGTGGTAAAAAACTAAAAACATTGTTAAGGTTATTTAGTGTATTTGCTTGCACCGCAGGCGAGAGGTGATATGTGTGTTGGTTATGTCGGGTGATGGAGGTTTATCATCAATTCAACACCTAGGTGGCTTTCACAACCAATATAATCCATAATAGAGGTTTTTGGGTTAGATCACATATATTTAAATGTGTCGTTAAACCCACCACCACCTGACACAGCCAATTAGTAAGGTTTGTCACGTAAACAAACATGTCAATTCGTTACTAGTACAGCACACCGGTTGCGTGTTGGAGAGTAAACCCACTACAATATTTACAATTCTAGTACCGTGACTATTCAACCAGTATTTACAACAACCAGCATCATCAGGCAACAGCCAAAGTTGTGGAGAAATCCTCCTTCTGTTTCGGTCTTATTAAATATTTGATTCAGAATTCGTCGGATAACTCACGTGGCCACGTTCAAAAAAGAGCCAACGACGATGGTGAACCACCGTAATGGAGTTATCATTTCCCCAAAGGTAAGAAGAAATCAGCGGCGGTGCCGCCGTACCCTTCCACGAGCCTGGACGGGCGGATCGAGCCACGCGCCATGCAGAATGTGAGCTTCAAAGCAATACACTAAAAACCCTGTTTTAAAAAAAAAATAAAAATCGTATAAAAAAGACTACAATATACTTAATACACAGATAAACTAATTGTTGTGTTGAATTTGGTATCACACCCCCCCCCCCACCGCATCTCTATTTGAAAATAACTCACAAACAAACACTGCCTTCTCATGGGACCTTTTTCCAGTATCAAAGTATTAAAAATAAGCATAGGTTATACCCTTTCTGACAATAAAACAGATGTTAAAAGACCAAAAAGGTATCCCATGATATAGTTACTCACCCCGAGCTATAAATGTTCTGACACGTGCATTGTCTTTGTACAGTTCGCATTTGGGCATTGCGCTCTGGTCTGACATTGCTAGTGAGACTCAACCATGATGAAGGCTGTCTGTGGTGCAGGCCAATCCGTTTCAAAGACAATGCATATATTACCAGAGTGTGTTTGCATGTTGACCACAAGTACATGTGGTTAATGCAGACTTGATTCCTTGCAAAAGGTACTATTTCGTGTTTGCAAATCTTAACTCCTGTTTTATTGCCAGAAGGAGTAAAACCTGTTCTTCTTTTGCAATTAACTGACAAACAGACACAGCCTTTTTGTGAAATACCCCAAACGCAGACAATCCCTGGGGTTGGAACTTCACGAAGCTGCTCATGGTCCCACCCTGAAACCGCAGCAACTGCACAAACCATGGCAGCAGCAGTAGATGCAGATTATAGCTGCTAATGCAGCATTGGAAAATGGAAAACTCTCTCCAGTAGCAGTGTTGCCATGACTGTGGTCATCCAGAACAGAGCCGTACCTCCTGTATACCAGGCGAGGTAGTTAACATCTCTGAGCCATCTGTCTGCTTCCAGGACGCTGCTGGCGAGGTCTTCTACGAGACGGTGAACATGGGCGATGGAGAGCGACGCGATTCTATGGCGGGCGAGGAGCCCCACATCCACGGCTCTCCGCTGCCTGTCATCTACTCGACCGTCAATAAAGTCTCTTCGGGGCCTAGCTCTTAAATCGTCCTCTATTGTTGTTAACTATTATTAGTAGAACTCCTTCTTGTTGTTGTGTTTAGTTTGTTGTTCTCCCTGCTCCCCGCACCTCCTGGGGTCGCCGGGTTTGGAGCACAGCGTAATGTTAACTGCTACATCACCGCTCCATCGACACACACTCATCCAGAGACCCATGAACTCATCACACAGAGACGCAGAGACTCTCCACACAGAGACACACAGACTCACACACAGACTCATAGACTCACACACAGATCCATTTACTCTCCACACAAAGACCCATAGACTCACACAGACCCATATACTCTCTACACAAAGACCCAAATAGATATACACAGACTTACACAGAGACCCAGACTCACACAAAGATCCATAGACTCGCACAGAGACCGATATACTCTCCACACAAAGACGCACACAGAGACCCCCAGGCTCACACAGAGACCCATAAGCTCTCAGAGATACCATAGACCCACATCGAGACCGATTGACTGGCGCAGAGACCAATTAGATTCGGACACAAATCTACAGCCTGAAATATCGCATCGCAATTGTACCGTGACTCAAGTACTGTGGGATTGTTGCAATGTGTGATTGTTAGGATTCGATGAAATATAATTTTTTGTCGACCCAGGTCAAGAGTGGTGAACATTGAAAATTCATTTCTTTAGAAGTGCTTTTTGTTTTTAGTTTGTTGTTTCCCACCCCACACCTTCGATTATGGTGGTTGGCTACGTACAGTGAGAGAGAATTCAACATATATAACGTGTACGTTATTACTCTTGCATATTTTTCCAGCAAATGCGAACTCCGGTTATCCTCGCAGCAGCAGTGACGACTTTTGGCTAGCCCATCGAACAATGGCGGTCACCGCATCGCGCGCGTGAGTTCAGATGCGCTTCTGCGTCCGACTGGAACGCTCTTCCTTCCGCTACTAGGAAGTCACTGGGAGCTGCGGTGCACTTAAAACAACTCGAGATTGATAAACTTATTTCTTTAGAACTGCTTGTTGTTGAGTTTAGTTTGTTGTCCCCCCCCGCACCTCCGATTAGCAAGGGGGTCTCGGTCTTAAATCACCTCGTCGTTTATTTATATATATACTTGACTCTCAATTATCCGTGCTAATGATGTAAAAGATTGGCGCGAATATTTCAAAATCGTAAATAATCAAAAATATAACTATTTCCCACGGATATCTATGCCAAAAACGAACAAGTGACCGATCGATGATGGGCGTGCTCAGCGATAACACGTTCCTGCTCCGGTCCAGCAGAAGACTTGTCCCACTAAGTGGATGATAGCAGAGCCACAGCCAATCAACATCAAACTCAGCCCACTGAGTAGATGATAGCAGAGCTTCAGCTAATCAAGATCAAACAAATTCAGCCCACTGAGTGGATGATAGCAGAGCCACAGCCAATCAACATCAAACTCAGCCCACTGAGTGATAGTAGAGCCTCGCCAATCAACATCAATCAGATATTGCAACTGCTGTCCTGTCGCGGCAATATTGTGGATTTCGGATTAACCGGAGCAACATTTTTGTCGGTTAAAGAACGTGCCTTACAATGAACATTTCCAAGAATAACAATATGTAATTCATATTCTTTGGGTCTTTCGGTAAAGCCACGTAGATAGAAAAATTATAAAATCAAAATCACGACGTTTCGATCACAACACAAGCAATCGCCTTCAGGTGAAAAAGAGGAAAATCCGTTGAGGCAGGCTGTTTATAAAGGGTTGGAGATGGGCGGGACAGCTAATGTTAATGTAGGAGCGAGTAGGAGAGGGCGAGTAGGAGAGGACGAGTAGGCGAGAGAAATTTGCTTGGAAATGTAAGCTCTGTGGGGGCCAAGCTCAGCTCGGGCCCGGACGATGCAGTGGCATACTCTTATGATTTTTTTTGCAGTGGCAAGCCGCCATATACTAACACACCTAAAGGTTAGCTGTGTTAGTGAATGTAACTCAGAGAGTCGAACATAACTGCTAACATAGGTATGTAGGATAGGAACATCACAGCCAGTTATGACCTAAACTGGTTAAGAACGTCCTTCCAATGATTGCTTAGTTTGTACCCATCTTCTCGGTTGAAATTGTGTCTGTGTTTATTTATCTGGATGGCTTCATGAACGAATCTTTGCTGATAGCCAGTGGGTTTGCAGAGTACCTTCGTCTTGGCAAAATCAATTTCACGTGTGCTCACCGCGTTAAAACAATGATCAGCCACGGCTGAGGCATTGGTCCTACCGTGTTTCAGATCTGCCTTATGTTCACGAACCCGGTCCGAGACATGTCGCTTAGTTTCCCAATGTAATTGCTGCCGCAGACACAGCTTAGTTTGTAGACACCGGGGTATAACATGTCAGGGATCGCATCCTTCACAGATGGGATCAAATCACAAATTGTATGTACTGTGTTGATCCGTACCTGGATATTGTGTTTGAACATGATTTTGGAAATCTTATTGGTGAACCCTGCTATGTATGGCAAGGTGATGTGTAATTGTTTTTAGATGATTCATTTGGGCTTAAGGGAAAATCTCATGAGTTGTTCATTTGTGTCAAAATCTCAGGCGCGTGGCTAATCATCTAATCCAATACACCGCCGCGTGGATAATTGAGTCTACCGTATATACAGTGAGGGAAAGAGTATTTGATCCCCTGCTGATTTTGTACGTTTGCCCACTGATAAAGAAATGATCAATCTATAATTTTAATGGTAGGTTTATTTGAACAGTGAGAGACAGAATAACAACAAAAAAATCCAGAAAAACGCATCTCAAATTTTTTTTAAATAGATTTGCATTTTAATGAGGGAAATAAGTATTTGACCCCTCTGCAAAACATGACTTAGTACTTGGTGGCAAAACCCTTGTTGGCAATCGCAGAGGTCAGACGTTTCTTGTAGTTGGCCACCAGGTTTGCACACATCTCAGGAGGGATTTTGTCCCACTCCTCTTTGCAGATCCAAGTCATTAAGGTTTCAAGGCTGACGTTTGACAACTCGAACCTTGGAAATGTAAGCTCTGTGGGGGCCAAGCTCAGCTCGGGCCCGGACGATGCAGTGGCATACTCTTATGATTTTTTTTGCAGTGGCAAGCCGCCATATACTAACACACCTAAAGGTTAGCTGTGTTAGTGAATGTAACTCAGAGAGTCGAACATAACTGCTAACATAGGTATGTAGGATAGGAACATCACAGCCAGTTATGACCTAAACTGGTTAAGAACGTCCTTCCAATGATTGCTTAGTTTGTACCCATCTTCTCGGTTGAAATTGTGTCTGTGTTTATTTATCTGGATGGCTTCATGAACGAATCTTTGCTGATAGCCAGTGGGTTTGCAGAGTACCTTCGTCTTGGCAAAATCAATTTCACGTGTGCTCACCGCGTTAAAACAATGATCAGCCACGGCTGAGGCATTGGTCCTACCGTGTTTCAGATCTGCCTTATGTTCACGAACCCGGTCCGAGACATGTCGCTTAGTTTCCCAATGTAATTGCTGCCGCAGACACAGCTTAGTTTGTAGACACCGGGGTATAACATGTCAGGGATCGCATCCTTCACAGATGGGATCAAATCACAAATTGTATGTACTGTGTTGATCCGTACCTGGATATTGTGTTTGAACATGATTTTGGAAATCTTATTGGTGAACCCTGCTATGTATGGCAAGGTGATGTGTAATTGTTTTTAGATGATTCATTTGGGCTTAAGGGAAAATCTCATGAGTTGTTCATTTGTGTCAAAATCTCAGGCGCGTGGCTAATCATCTAATCCAATACACCGCCGCGTGGATAATTGAGTCTACCGTATATACAGTGAGGGAAAGAGTATTTGATCCCCTGCTGATTTTGTACGTTTGTCCACTGATAAAGAAATGATCAATCTATAATTTTAATGGTAGGTTTATTTGAACAGTGAGAGACAGAATAACAACAAAAAAATCCAGAAAAACGCATCTCAAATTTTTTAAAAATAGATTTGCATTTAAATGAGGGAAATAAGTATTTGACCCCTCTGCAAAACATGACTTAGTACTTGGTGGCAAAACCCTTGTTGGCAATCGCAGAGGTCAGACGTTTCTTGTAGTTGGCCACCAGGTTTGCACACATCTCAGGAGGGATTTTGTCCCACTCCTCTTTGCAGATCCAAGTCATTAAGGTTTCAAGGCTGACGTTTGACAACTCGAACCTTCAGCTTCCTCCACATATTTTCTTGGGGATTAAGGTCTGGAGACTGGCTAGGCCACTCCAGGACCTTAATGTGCTTCTTCTTGAGCCACTCCTTTGTTGCCTTGGCCGTGTGATTTGGGTCATTGTCATGCTGGAATGCCCATCCACGACCCATTTTCAATGCCCTGGCTGAGGGAAGGAGGTTCTTACCCAAGATTTGACGGTACATGGCCCCGTCCATCACCCCTTTGATGCGGTGAAGTTGTCCTGTCCCCTTAGCAGAAAACACCCCCAAAGCATAATGTTTCCACCTACATGTTTGACGGTGGGGATGGTCTTCATGCGGTCATAGGCAGCATTCCTCCTCCTCCAAACACGGCGAGTTGAGTTGATGCCAAAGAGCTCCATTTTGGTCTCATCTGACCACAACACTTTCACCCAGTTGTCCTCTGAATCATTCAGATGTTCATTGGCAAACTTCAGACGGGCATGTATGTGCTTTCTTGAGCAGGGGACCTTGCAGGCGCTGCAGGATTTCAATCATTCATGGCGTAGTTTGTTACCAACTGTTTTCTTGGTGACTATGGTCCCAGCTGCCTTGAGATCATTGACAAGATCATCCCGTGTAGTTCTGGGCTGATTCCTCACCGTTCTCATGATCATTGCAACTCCACGAGGTGAGATCTTGCATGGAGCCCCAGGCCGAGGGAGATTGACAGTTATTTTGTGTTTCTTCCATTTGCGAATAATCGCACCAACTGTTGTCACCTTCTCACCAAGCTGCTTTGCGATGGTCTTGTAGCCCATTCCAGCCTTGTGTAGGTGCACAATCTTGTCCCTGACATCCTTGGAGAGCTCTTTGGTCTTGGCCATGGTGAAGAGTTTGAAAACTGATTGATTGATTGCTTCTGTGAACAGGTGACTTTTATACAGGTATCAAGCTGAGATAAGGAGCACTCCCTTTAAGAGTGTGCTCCTAATCTCGGCTGGTTACCTGTATAAAAGGTACCTGGGAGCCAGAAATCTTTCTGATTGAGAGGGGGTCAAATACTTATATCCCTCATTAAAATGCAAATCAATTTATAACATTTTTGACATGCGTTTTTCTGGATTTTTTTTGTTGCTATTCTGTCTCACTGTTCAAATAAACCTACCATTAAAATTATAGACTGATCATTTATTTGTCAGCGGGCAAACGTACAAAATCAGCAGGGGATCAAATACATTTTTTTCTCACTGCATTAAATTTTATTCACAACAAAACACGAGCTCTCCTCTATACAACATGACGGAAGATTCCAGGGGCTGGAGGTTACAGAAAACTGTCGGTAGTTCATTCACCACGAACACTCCCCTCCCCTACGTTGCCACAGCCAAGTGAGGGAGCTCGCCTAGTGGGGGACGGTGGGGGGGGAGATGAAGATTTACATGGGTTGGAAAAGAGGTGGGGGGGGGGGAAGTAGTAGAGTGAGTGAGTAGGTGAGTGAGTGTATGGGTGAGTGAGTGAGTGCGTGGATGGGTGGATGGTTGGGTGAGAAGTCTGGTAAGTGAGTGAATGGGTGCAGTTGTGGTCACGAAGTTTATGCTGTCAATAGCGCTGCTGAGAGACGCCACGTGGTCGCAGTCGAGGGACTTGGCCAGTGTCGTCAACCACACGTGGCTGCAGGCTTAGTCCCGGAGCTGCCCGTCCGGCAGTCTTTGATGGTCTTCTCCCGGAGTCTCTCTCTCCCTCCCTAACAACCAATCAGCCACCTGTTGCTGGGTGGCAGACATTCATCTCTTGCGTCTCGGCTCCTGTCAATAAACTTGACATGTACAGCATCCTCCATTCGGAACCTCGAAAATTCGTCATACAGTACTATACACGACACTTCTATACACTACACTATACACTACTATACACTACAATACAATCCACTAGTATATACTATACTATACACGAGTACGCTACATTGCACTGTTTTAAACTTGATTTTTTTTTGTTGGCAACACCTGCCACCAATCACGCATAGACCCATCGACTGCCCCCTCACCTCACTCCACGTGGCCTGTCCTGACTGGCCAATTTGTGTTCTGCCACCTAAATTAAGGCCACACTGAGTGGCGCCATTGCTTCCAGAAGGAGGTGGGGGGGGTTGGGAAATTCCCCCCCTAACCACTTACCCCCTTTACCTCATGTAAGCTCAGGCCCATCACAGCTACGCAGCTCTTTTTCAGAAGCAAACCTGGCCATTATCACAAATGATAGCTCAACGAAGAGGCTGTTTATAGTCTTGTGGAGAATTAATAGCGGCAGCCAAACACTCTTCAACGCTCGTTTAACACGTAGGAGGCTTTCCCGACCAATATTATCCATATAATAGATGTTTTTTTGGGTTAGATTACGTAAATATATAAAAGTGTCATTAAAACCCGCCACCACCCGACACAGCCAACTAGTAAGGGTTGTCACGCCAACAGAACATGCCAATTCGAATACACTACTTTAACAAACAGGAGTGGAGACAAGATGCACCCTTGGTGGAGTCCAACACCCACAGCGAACGACTTTGATTTAACACCAAGAATACAGACGCAGCGCTCACTCCGGGAATAGAGGGAATGGATAGCGCACAAAAGCGACACCGGTATGTCATACTCCCGCAGCTCCTTCCACAATAAATTGTGGAGTTTTCTGCCAGATGTTCTCAGAAAACGATGTATTCGTTCGTTCGTTAGTTTATTTTGTCATACCCTGTGAGTCAACAAGGTTTCATCAACATAAAACAACACTGCTTCTCAGACATATGCATAAGTCACAGTAAAATACATCAAAAGTAAAACATAACAGATATGCGAAATGAAAAATGGATAGCAAATCATAATCACAACATAAAAAAATTCCTTTTTTTTTAAATAATAAGTTAAATATAGATGATCAAATAGCACGCTGTATCTCAAAAATATACTAAAAATAATTGACCGTATTAATTGTAATGCAGATATGGCATAAGGCACGACGGGATAAAAATTTAGGAATTAAAAACACATCATCCATTTAAAAAAAAGTGTAAGCAACGCGCGTGAATTAGTCGCTTACAGGCAATTCATACTTGTATCTCGTCTAACTCTTTATACATTGGCAGCTGGGCTGGGATTCACTTTAAATTTGTGATTTGAAGTGATTGATGGACGGCAATGACTGCAGACCAAGTTTGTGGCAATATTGTTCCACAGACTAGGGGCAGCCACAGAAAACGCTAATTCACCAAACTTGTTTTATATCTGGGAACGTTCAATATAAGTAATGTTGAACTCCTCAGGTTAGTTCTGCCCTTCTGTCATATCAACTGATCCAACAAATATTCGGCCGAATTACTGTAAATTAACAAACTTGAAACAAAAGGCAGGAGCAGCAATGGGCTCTCCTTTGTCTCCTGCTATTGAGAATCTGTACATAGAGCACTTGCTTCAAGTACATTATAACCATTTTTGGGTGATATATGTGGATAACACTTTGGTTGTCTGGCCACATGGTAATGATACACTTAATGAATGTCTAAATCATCTCAATTCACGAAACCCGTCCATTCAGTTCACCATGAAAATGGAGGGTTACGATTAAAAGGCAACAATAATGCTCACATTAACAAATCATAGAATGCCAAACCAAGATCGAACAGCAAGACTGCTGAAAGCGATCAGGTTATAAACAATTAAAACACCACGGGGAGAGAGAGAGACACGCGAACTTCAAATATACAGCAGGCATTAGTTGGGATTGAACCCAGGTGATCCTACATACGAGGCTAGGTAGTTAGCATCTCGCCAACGTGGCGCCCAATGGTAAATTTAAGGGAGAAGTAGGACACAGGAGGAGGAGGGAAGAGAAGAGGGGAGGAGGGAGGAGGTAGGGAGGGAGAGGAGGGAGAGGAGGAAGAAGAAATAGGAGGAACAGGGAGGAGGAGACATAAGGAGAGAGGAAGAATGCATCCAAACATAACCAAAACATTACATAACAAGCACGCGCCGAGGCTTTTTGTCATTCTTACAGATCCCCCTTGAGCAAGGGCCATCATCGCCACATGTGTAATAAAGGACTTTGACAACACACAGCTTGGTCTCGGTCTCTGTCCTTATTCTTGTTATGCCGCTCACACTCCGCCGGTCCCGACCGTGGACCGGCTGTTCCACTGGCGCGCCCCGCGCGCTCTTTCTGTCAGTTGCACTCCCGCACACCGTTGGCTGACGGTGTGTTTGGAGCCGTCTCAAGCCACGTGGCCGATGGCGCTGGAGACCTTCCACGGCTCGACGTGGTCCCACTTCGAGTCTATGCCAACTGCCACGAGCCTCTTCTGGATCCCCCTTATATTACCCTCTCTCGTCATCCCGTCTCCACCTTCCACCACGCCCTTTCCGAACCTTCCAGATCACGCCCTTCACTTAGCGCCCCTCCCGGCTCCGCCCCTAGGCTCCGCCCCTGATCATCCGGGCATCCGATTGGACCGGAGGTGGGCGGCGGACCTCCCCATACACCCACCTTACTGGGCCCCGACCTCAATACTCCGGGCCGTCCGATTGGTCCAGAGCTGAGCGGCGAAACCTCGCTTACGCTCGCATTACACAATTACAGCTTTTACTCTTCCTGGCAATAAAACAGGTGTTAAGATGTTCGAACAACAAATAGATACCATTTGCAAGGAATCAAGTCAGCATTAACCACACACGTACCTACTTTTTGGTTCTTTTGGCAAAGTCACGTAACATCAGCAAAGATGAGCGTTTTGAATTAGCTCAATTAAAAGTGGGATGACATTGTCATCCGCTCAGCCGACAAAGGCAATGCCACTGTCATCAAGGACAAATAGAATACAACAACAAAATTCAAGAACTACTCAATGATGGCAGCTATAAAAAAATAAAAAGAGACCCCACCAACAGCCTCGTCATTAAAACCAACAAAATCATTTCTTATTCAACCGCATTAATTGATCAAACCAAACAGTTCTCGTTGAAACCCTCTGCAGCCAGGCCACCAAGATTATATGGCTTGCCAAAGATACATAAAGAAGATACACCTCATCGTCCCATTGTCTCTACCATCAGCTCCCCAACCTACAAACTGGCTCGTTTTTTGTCTAAAATCCTGCGGCCTTTCACTGGAAAAACCACCTCTGCGGTACTAAACTCTATTGACCTGGCATCGACAATCAAGGGAATTTCCCTGTCCCCAGACGACCTGCTTGTCAGTTTTGATGTGGTTTCCTTTTTCACCAAAGTTCCTGTACCTGACACCATCGCAATCATTGAAGACTTGGTTCATCAAGGATTGAATACTGGGGTACCCCCCCTGGTGAGACACTGCTTAACTAATACATACTTCACCTGGAATGGAACTTTCTACAAACAAACTGAGGGCACCCCAATGGGCTCCCCCCTATCTCCGGTTGTAGCCAACGTTTTCATGGAGAAATTTGAGACTGACGCAATCCAGACTGCCACTCTACGCCCGACCTTATGGAAGAGGTACGTAAATAACACTTTTGTCATCTGACCACATGGCCGGCCTGCTCTAGACCAATTCCTCGACCACATCAATTCCATACACCCAGCCATCAGATACACCATGGAATTCGAAAAAGATGGCAAGCCACCCTTTTTGGATGTCCTAATTAAAAGGAGACCTGATGGTTCAATGAGTCATTCTGTCTACAGGAAAGCCACCCATACGGAAGCTTACCTAAAACCGGATTCCCACCACCATCTATCCCAGAAGAACTCCCTCATCAAGACTCTATACCATAGAGCCCAAGGCATCTCCGACCAGGAACACATTGCCAATGAACTCAAACACGTACGCCAAGCTCTTAAGGCTAATGGTTACTCCGACTACACAATCCGCAAAGCCATCACTCGAACCATCAAGAAAGATCCTGTTGAGG